TATATATATATATATATATACAGGGTGATTTTTTTATCATAACCCACTCAATTACTTACAAAATAAATATAATTAAAAATTTTTTTTTTTGGTTATCTTTAGTTACACATTATTCTTGAATTATTAACTATGTAATACTTTTTGAGTTAATATACATGTATAATACACAAGAGATTACAAATATAGGTAGCTAATTGGTTTTTTATGACATTGCTGTCATAATCACGGATTGTTTATTATCAATTATGACTATCTATAGATATACTTTCTGTATTGTCAGTTAGTGTATTTATAAAATCACAACAATGTGCCTTACTACCATTGATAATAACAATGCTGTGTTTCTGCTAATATCGATGTCATAAAAAATGTATTAATATTTTAAGTATAAACATTTTTTTTAATTTAGACTAAATTTACAGATTAATTGTATAAAGAGTGTTCAGTAAGACAGGAAACGGGTTTCTATTGTTCTCGTTGTTACAAACAATGAGAACAATAGAAACCCGTTTCCTGACTTACTGAACACCCTGTATAATAATTTTACGTGTCTCCTATTTATAAAAAAAATTCATTAATACACATGAATCGTGTAAATATGAACTAATAATCACGTTTTTTTTTTTTTTTACACCGTTAAGTTGGTTAATACCATTAGTATATCCTGGGGAAATGTATGTGCAGTGGTTTCCCGTTGCCTCCTGCACTGGGAACATGGTGCTTTTNAAAAAAAAAAAAAAAAAAACATCTTAGTAAAACCAATACCTTCTCAGCTTCGCATCGAAGCTACCAGATTTGGCCCGGACTAGCTTTTATTTCTACTAAAAAAATGTACTCTAGCAAATATCCAAGTTTTCCCTCTCTTCAAATAAAATTTTATGATAAAACTCTCACCAGGGGAAATATAAAACCACTACATTAAATTACAGATAAAACTTTTATCTGTAATTTAATGTAGTTTGAATATGTTTCATAGTTTTTTTTTTTACACTTTGAGACTTTTGGTTTAAGGGCGATGTTACCCGTACACTATATTATATATAGTGTTTAGTAAGTAAAGAAACTGGTTTCTTTTGTTCTCATCGTTTGTAACAATTGACCTATATTCTTACTTACTAAACACTCTGTGTGTAATATACACATGAGCAATATTGATTATGTCTAGAGCTGTGAATTTAATGTAAAAAAAATACATAAAATAAACATTCTAATATGCATTAATTACTAACTAAATATGCATTAAAATATATTCTTAAAATTCNGTACGTAAACGTATCATGCACTAGGTATAACCGTATTTTGTGGGCGGGCGGGTCGGACTAACGTTATACCTGAGGTATAAACGGTGGTAGGAATATATAAATATATATACGTAAGGCGCATTAGACGCGGGCGGTATTGGTCAGTCAAAATAAAAATTTGTTTATATATATACAGAGTGTTCAGTAAGTCAGGAAACGGGTTTCTATTGTTCTCGTTGTTACAAACAATGAGAACAATAGAAACCCGTTTCCTGACTTACTGAACACCCTGTATAATAATTTTACGTGTCTCCTATTTATAAAAAAAATTCATTAATACACATGAATCGTGTAAATATGAACTAATAATCACGTTTTTTTTTTTTTTTACACCGTTAAGTTGGTTAATACCATTAGTATATCCTGGGGAAATGTATGTGCAGTGGTTTCCCGTTGCCTCCTGCACTGGGAACATGGTGCTTTTCGCCACCGTAGAAGCGCACGTATGGTCACCCATCCGTTCACCTACGGCGGTAGGCGCGTCTTAACACTAGTGTTTTGTCAGCAACTAGTGACCACCGCGCCACACCACGCCCACATATTTACGTAATATATGCAAAAATATACAAAATAAGGTTTTACGTTTAAGTTATAAATAACTTTGATAGGCATTTTAAAATATTTTTTATTCAAACAAAGTAGTTTATTTTTAGTATAAAGTATCGAAAATTTAAGTACTGTAACGTTGATACCATATCACCTACCATTATCCACATGATAACAACTTATATTAAAAAGGAGATTATGTTAAATAATTTTTTTATCTCTTAAATATATTATTGTTTCTCGTTACTTTGAATAAAGCTTACTAAATAGTTTTAGTTAAATAATACTAGCTAATAAATAATATAAACCAATATTTGTGGCGTCTTTTAGTTTTTTTTTAATGAAAGATAGTCATATATTAAGAAGCATGTCATCTAGTCATACATTTAAACAAATTATTTTTTGGGATAATGAATTAATGTTTGCTTGTTTTTTTTTTAAATAATTAAACTTTATCGGTCTGGAGTGTTGATTTTTTATTTAATAGATGAATTAAAATTAAAATTTTTGATTTTTAGTAATTATGAAAATATAAAAAACAATATAAACACACATCAGTTAATGAGCAGTTGGACAGAACAAGATACTGATATTCCAAAACCAAACGTAACGGTTTCGACACACTCCATTAGCATAGATGTATCATCACTGGGAAATAACACAAAAAATGTCATCAACAATACTAGGATTACGCCATTTTCGAACAATACTTTATTGTAAAATAACACTTGTTGGAGCTTTTATATATATTTTATAATTTTATATAATTATACAGAGTGTTCAGTAGGTAAGGAAACAGGTCAATTATTACAAACAATGAGAATATTAAAAACCCATTTCCTTACTTACTGAACACATTATATATGATTAATTAGTATTTAACTCTCATATTTTGATTAGAGACTGGAACAAAATCTAAAAAAACGATTCTTTAACTTCAACGTTATTAATATTTAGAACCTGAATAGGAATAAGAATCTTTATAATCAGAAAAACATGTACATATTTGTAAACCTTTACAAATAAAAGTTTTTTAACGGTTATTGAGTATTTATTCGAATAATGACTTATTGTGTCGTACATTAAATGTTAGTGTAAGAAGAAAAGAAAAAAAATGTTCGTAAAGATAAAAATTATTAATATATGTTAACTTAAATAAGGTACATTTGTAAGGCTTAATTAACTAGAAAACAAGTCTGTTTTCAAAAATTGTTATTTTTCAATTTTTTTTAGAGTAACTAAGTAATTTACTTAAATTCAATCGACTAATTGATGGGTAGATTTAAATTCAAATAATGTCTAACATATTTGTACTATAACTTTTATTGATTTCAATTTAGGGGCATTCTATTAATTTTGTCCTTGGTTGAACATCAATAAGAAAATTGTTTTCTGCCCTTTCATACAGTGGCGTTTAAATATGATGAAGGCGATATAGGTAAACCGTTTTTTCTTATATATTATATTTATAGTATAATAATTTTTAGAGTATTTAGCACGCTAAAGATAAGGTTATTACCTTGAAAATTTTAATAAAAAAATAAATATAAATATATGTGTAAGTTTAAACCTAGGGTCTGCTAAAATTTTTATTCGTGGCAATAATTGGAATTTTTATTAAAAATTGACAAAAAGTAAATACAAAAATAGGAGTGTTAATTTATGATTTAGGGTTATTGATATATCCCCTTATTAGGGTGATCCTTATTTATATAGATAGACACTTATTTTTGAATATTTTTTATACTGTAGATTACTTTAGTCTATAACATAATAATGTAGGCAAAATTTGGAAGGTTTTACTCAATCCCTTCTGATACGGCATTGGGGTTTAAATATGACAATTGAGGGTAGTTTTTCTTTTTTTGAGTTTAACTCTATAAGTATTACACTTAACGTTAAAATATATAGAACATTAATTAAGTGTAGAACTTATTATTGCTTGTAAAAATGGTATTAATAAAATGTTTCATATATCAATTATACTTTGAGAAATATAATAAATTTACAAAATTTAGCATAGTTTTTTACAGTTATTGTAATATATTTACTAAGTGGTTGTAGATGCATAAAATTTTGTGTATAAAAATGGTTCTAATAATATTTCTTAAAAACACTATAATTATATGTTGGATCAATTAGTTAAGTTGAATTTGATAATTTAAATATTATAAAGTATAGACAAGATGTGTATTTTTACAAATACTATGTTTATTATTAAATGTACGGAATTTACCATTCCGTAAACTATGATTATTCGTTAAAGATAAGAATGGCTGACATTATTTTTATTTCTGTACTAATACGTAACAATAAAAGTTATCTTTCAAAAATTTATTAATGCTCTATATTTAATACTTTCATTACTGTTTATTATTGTATCATGTTTTTAGTTTTGTTTAAATATACCACGAAACCAAGATTTTCTAGTAGAACCTATAGAACTATCAGATTACTAAGTAAATTTCCCGCTATAAAAAATTGTGAATCGTGTTATATTATAATTTAAGTGTAAAATTGAATTTGCATGAAAGCGCGGCGTTTGTGGTGGACGAATGTTTAATATAAAAAGCTTGTATAACCACACAAGATTCATTTAATATTGTAAGGAAATTAAAAAAACCCAGCACAGGGGGGTTGCGGTACAGTGGTGACAAGGCATAGTTGGATCAAGTATAATGATATCTGAGAGTGATTAAAATCACTATAAAAAAAAACGCTTCAATGCAAATCTTTAGATAGTGTTTAATTTTAAAAAATTGGTGGATTATTCCAAAAGCTACATGATCTGCTAGTTCGTTATTAATATCCTGATTCAGATAAAGTATGTCGAATGCAAAAGGAATTATTAAAAAATATTATTTCTCATAAAAAAATTGTGTTGATCCATACACTTTTCAATAAGTTGTAGCATTATATAGTTAAAAATGTAAAAAATAAAATCGAGAATTTTCACACAAAAATTGCATTCGGTAGCCATTTTCACCATAAAAATAAAATAAAGTCCGAAATTTTTTTTTTTCATAAAAAACTACATTATATTAGCTTCAATTTATGATATATAAAAAAGTGTCAGACTTTCCGGAACACTTTCAAAAGTTTAGTGTAAAAGTAAATTTTTTGTGAAAAAGTTGTCATTTTAAATCCCCTCCGTAGGCAGATAAAGGTCAGATTTATAAAAAAAATATATCAAATGATAGATAAAGATATCAAGCATCTATAAAAAAAATTATATTGATTTGTTCATTTTTGAAAAAGTTATGGCAGTTTTAAGTAAAAATAATTGAAAAAATTTCGAAAATTAGCAATTTTTAAATTTGTAATTTTTTTGGAGATTTCCCCCATTTACGGGGAACGAGGGAAATTTTTCAAATTTTTTAGGGCAATGTCTACTACTAGATAAGATTTGTGATCTTTTGTCGTATTGTTGAGAAAAATCGGTTCGTTGAGAGTTGAGAAAAAGCAGACAAAAAAAAAAAAAAANTGTGATCTTTTGACGTATTGTTGAAAAAAATCGGTTCGTTGAGATTTGAAAAAAAGCAAAAAAAAAAAAAAAAAAAATATCATAGTAAAACCAATACATTTTCAGCTTCGCATCGAAGCTATAATTGTACTAATTTGGTCATTTTTGATAAAGTTATAAAAATTAACAGAGTTAAAAGTTTTATACACTGGACTAAAAGGAACTTTCAACAGAAACAAAAATATACTATTCTAAATAAACTTTTCGCGACGTTTTCAAATGTGCAATTAGACTTTTTCTATCACTTCTAAGTTTTAATATTATTAAAAATAGTATTTACATATAAAAAAAAAATAATTAAGAACAAAAAAAAATTGTTTTAAATTAATACTGATTTTGATTATTAATATGTTAAAAATAAGGAAAATATTTAATCTAATTTTTTAATCGTTTAAAGTTGATTTTTGTAAATGTTTATAATAAAAAAAAAAACAATTATTTTACCATAACTTTTAGCTCAATTGGCAAGTTTGAAATTAACATCATTAAATAGAAAATGTTATGAGAATTAAAAAAATTGTACCGTTAAGTGTAATATGCTAGTTAGGAAGAATTATAAATACTATTTATAGTAAATTTATCAGAATAGCTCAATATTTTATTGCATTTTTATCGTAATAGATAACGTAAATAGAAGTAATAGTAATAATTTCCTAGTAATTTTTGGTGTTTGAAAAGATTCTGCAATTGAAATATTCAGAACTTAATTAATTTTAATGATTTACTTTAACTAAATGAATCAATCAAAACAAAGTTGTAAAAAAGATTTACTCGATTGAGCGTATAATAAAATTTGATTATAATTGTAAAAAATCAATGTTTATTCATGAGAAACTAACAATCTTTTTTTTAGAAATTATTTATATAGTAACATGTTACCAAAAAAATTTGAATAATATAGTCTAGTAGTAGCAGCACACACAAATGGAGTATAAAAATTATTAAATTACAAAGTAAAATGATTTAATTTTTTAGTTGAAACCTATCATATTAAATTATCATATCAAAGTTTATTTAATCAATAAATACTTTGAAAACATTAGAAATTAATGATTTTAATTGTCTGTATAGAGAAAATGGGATTAGTAACTGTTTAATTGATAAATTAGAATTTTTTTTTAAATTTTGAGGGTAATATCTTCAATTAATAGTAATAATTTGACGTATCGCTTAAATAGTAAGTAAACTTAGAGCAGAGAAAATAAAAAAATACCTTATATTATCTATATTACTACCTTGTATCGTTGAAAAATATAGATCAAATTAGAGCAGAGTAAATAAATGATAGTCACAAAAAAATACCTTCTCAGATTTGCATCGAAGCTAAAATTTAAAATATAGTAAAATAATTTTAATATGAATAAGAAATTTCTTCTCGCATGGGGTGACTAAAGTGATGGGATCCTTGATCTTTATTGAAGTTATTGAATCTAAATGAGATAAAAATCAAACGAGTTGAAAATTTATTCTAACTTAAAAAGAATTAAGAAAAAATGAAAAAATTGTCTTGCCATATGCGGGTTAGAAAACCTTGAACCCCAAGCGCGTTAAACACAAGTTTTATCGACTCAGCAACCGTACGTCGCTACCGTCGGCTGAAAAAAATGGCTATTTAAGCTGGTTCAAATTTCAAAATTATTTTTCTCGACTCCAAAAAGCAAAAAAATGTATATAAGTTTAACTTTCGATGCTATATCAATTTTTATTTGTATAATATTTATGAAAATCTGTACTCCCCTTGTCAGGTATTTTAAAATAAAATAAAATACAAAACCCAGAATTTTAACACAAAAATAATATATTTTTGAATACGGTAGTCATTTTTACCATGAAGACAAATCCAGAGGTCAAACTTTTTTTTTTCAAATTAAAGTATATTACATAAGCTTTAATTTAAGATATATATAAAAGAGTCAGTATTTCTGGAACATTTTCAAAAGTTAAGTTGAAAAAATTAATTTTTTGTAAAAAAGTTACATTTTGAAACCCCTCCTGTGGGCTGTTAAATGGTCAAATGTTCACAAAAATGATATCAAATGAAAGGGAAATATCTAAGGTTTTAGTATAAAAAAAATTATGTTGATTTGTTGATTTTTCAAAAAATTATGGAAGTTTTAAGAAAAAAAAGTGAAAAAAAATGACAAAATTTACCGATTTTTAAATATGTAATTTTTTTAGAGATTTCCCCCATTTACGGGGAACGAGGGAAATTTTTTCAATTTTTGAGGGTAATGTCTTCAACTGGATACGATTTGTGATCTTTTGACGTATTGTTGAAAGACATCGGTCCAATGAGAGCTGAGAAAAAGTAGTGACAAAAAAAAAAAAAAAAAAAAAACAAACATATCATGGTAAAATTAATACCTTCTCAGCTTTGCATCGAAGCTAAAACGCTTTTATGCAAATTTTAAAAAGAAGGTAGATTATTCCAAAAGCAACATGATCTCCTATTTCCTTATTTATATTCTAATTAGCGGTTTATGGTTTATAAGTGTAATATATGAATAAATCATATATTAATACGCTAGCACGAAACTTCTGTTACCATTTGCGACTGTAATAATTGACCGATTTTAATGATCAAGGTGGATCATGGTGGCTATGGAAACCTGATCACTGGGAGAAGTGTTATCAGAAAAAAAAATAATTATTTTAAAAAATAAAGGTGCTATATAACAAAATAAAATCACGTTAAATTAATATATATATAGTATTTTCGTCACATTGCTATTAAATGACCGTTCACCACTCTCACTGCCGCCGTAGCTGTATAGCCTAATAATCGATGGTTGTTCGACGACCACTTCCTCAGGTCTAAAACGACACCTTTATTATCTCATCGCGCAACTTAATTTTTTTACAAATGCTCATGTGATTGTGTTCGTAGCGCGGATGTTTTCGTTTTGGTGACGTTATTTTATTGCATAAGAAGTGAAATTATTGCACTTGCGTTTAAAAAATTGCTCAGTTCATTTAAAGTAAGTGAAAATATTAAGTGTTATGAGCAAAGTGTGTTTCGTTTCACTGTTCAACCTTTTTCAACGTTGAAGCTGGTGTGTTTGAATGAAAAATGGAGTGAAAAGCATAACAGGTAAAAATTATCGATTATTATTTTTTTTATAAGAGGGAGTATAGTTGTAGCGTCAATCGTGGATAAGATGAGAGAAAATAAACTTAAATGGTTTAGTCATGTTATGAGGAGAGAAGAATCGAAAGCTGTAAGAACAGTTATAGAAATGAATGTTGAAGGAAGAAGAGATAGAGGAAGACCAAAAAAGAGATGGAGGGATGTTATTAAATTATATGAGGACGGCTGTAGTATGAGCGTAGATGATGTGGGAGATCGTGTCAAGTGGAAGTTTGGGATATGGGTAACCAACCCCAAGTAGTTGGGATTAAGGCGAGGAAGAAGAAGATTTGTAAAATTAAATGTTTTATTTTGGTATAAACATAACATGAAAAAAGTGTTTATGGCGAGTGTTGAGCAGGGTGGGGTGAATGCGTTACGACAGTCTAGTCTCAAAGCCATAGACGACGGGATACGCGAGATAATAACACGTGGCACGTGGAGAGTTACACACAACACATACATGTGAAACTAAATAAGCGAGTTAAAAAAAAAACACAGTAAAATTAATATCTTCTCAGCTACGCATCGAAACTAAAATAGGTGGATTATTCCAAAATCTACATAATCTCCTATTTTCTTATTTATATCCTGATTACAAATTTTATGAATTATAAGTGTAATATATATAATGGGAAATGGTGTTATTTAAAAAAAGTTTGTCTTATGAAAGAGGGACATAAACATTATTTCTCATAAAAAAATTGTATTGATCCTTATACTTTTCAATAAGTTATAGCATTATAAAGTTAAAAATGTAATATATAAAATCAAGAATTTTCACACTAAAATAGAATTTGGTAGCCATTTTCAACGCGAAGACAAAATAAAGTCCGAATTTTTTTTTTTTTATAATAAAGTATATTATATTATCTTTAATTTAAAATATACATTAAAATGTCAGACTTTCCGGAACACTTTCAAAATTTTTTGTGAAAAAGTTGTCATTTTAAATCCCCCCTTGCGGCCAGGTGGTAAAGGGTCAGATTTATAAGAAAAAATATGTCGAATGAAAGATGTATATAAATACTACTTTTCATGAAAAAATTATATTGATCCATACATTTTCCAAAAAGTTATATCTTAATAAAGTATATTATATTATCTTTAATTTAAGATATATATAAAAGTGGCTCATAAGCTCTAATAAGATGACTAACTTGAGTTTTAATTGGAAATATTAAAGTAAAAAGTTAAAATTAATTTTGGAAATACTTTAAATTAGAAGAAAACTGATAATAAGTTGTTATAAATAAAAATACTTAGTTGAAATGATAGTTATTAAAATTCTGGGAAGATACTAGAGCCGAGGGGGTGCTAAAATTAAGTCTAGTGGTGTGAAAACACCCCCAACACTACCAGTAGTTACATTACTGATCAATCCATCATTTTCTTAATTAAATTATGTTAAAAATATATGTTGTAATTACAAAAAATGAAGTTGAGACTCTTATAAAATAATTAAAAAAAAAAACAATAATTAAGAAATTAAGAAACTAAAAATTACCTAAAAGACTTTTTTTAGAGAAATCTTAGGGTTAGTGTTAAGAGAATCATCTGTACTATAAAATATTAAAAAATTCTCATCTTACTATCTAAAAAAAAATAGTTATTTTAGAAAAAATTTGGCATGAATTATAAATGAAAGTTGATACAGATCAACAGTGCATAATTTATGTAATTGAAAATTTAAATATGAGAAATTATGAAATATTATATATTTAATGTCTTATCTCAATTCTATATTACATGATATATTTAAATACAAAAAATGTTTTTATTAGATTATCACAAACTATTTTTAGCCTATATCAAACAAAATATATTTTATAACAAAGTGACTAAAATTTAAACAGATTTTTTTATAAAAAATTTTGGGCAATATTGATATTGTTGAAGAACTCTATTATTTATATAAAGTGCATGTATATAAGAATAATTGCTTATTGAATACACCAAAAATATATAAAAATAATTAAATAACTTAAAATCTTGCAAAATTATTTAAGTTAAATTATATGTTTAACCATTATTTATAGTCTATTAACAAATTAAATAAAAAATATTTAAATTTTTTTCAAATTAATTCATAAGTTAAATTTAGTATTGTTTGAAAAAACATTAAAAATAATATAAAAATTAATGATAAATACAAAATATTTTATTAAAGATAATTTATTATAGTGTCAATCTTGTATAAAAAATGTCCTATTATTTATATATAATTACAAGACGAAACATTTTTTTGGCCACTGTAAATTATAAAAAATCCAATACCTTTTTATTTTACAACCATTTAAATTGATTAAGTTATGTTTTTAAGTTGTTTTTATTTAATAAATTCTTTTAGATATTAATTAATTATTAAATTTACCATTTGACTTATTAAAATGTAATTTTAACAAATAATTACTTAAAAAACTATAAAAATAAAATATACATATAGTAGAATGGTATAGTTAAAATAGGGTATTATAGTTAAAATAATAAAAACAAGATAAAAATTCACGTACAAGTTAAAAATTTAGAAGAGAGTTAATGTTGCAATTATATGTGATTTACTTTACCATTCTTCTTCCTCAGTTTTTATAAATTCAGAAATTTTTTCAACATCCTGAAATTTTTAATGTATACATTATCATTTATTATTGTTTATAATAAATAAGAATTAGTAGTATTATTATACAGCAGGTTGATTTCTATTTTAATTGTTTTTTTATGATTTGTAATACTGAATAATATGTCAGTTCTCTAAAGGTCATACATATCTGGAAATACATTCATGGAAGAAACATTATCTAATCTTCATACATTTTACTGAATATTTAATTGAAAATGTTTGTTAGTTTACCAAGAAACCATATTTTTTTTCAATAGTTCAATATAAGTCTATAATAAGACTAGTTTTGTTAGAATGAGGTTTAGTCAAAAATAGTAATCTTTTAGAAGATGAAAAGCACAAACTATTATTTCCTGATGGTAATCGTAGCATTTATCGTAGCAAATAAAAATAAAATAATAATTAAACTACCAATGTCATCAAAATCATAGCCTCTATTCTATCTATTTCGGATCGGTTTTGCCTTAATAATTTAAAGGAATTTTACACCAGCTATCGATATGACACAACCTCATTATGTCTGAGAAATTAAGTATAGGGTAAGGAGTGTGTCACTATTTAAGACCATCTAGACTACCAATGTAAACAACATTATTATAGCTAAACACAGTGGAAAATTTCAATCAAAATTGATAAATAACCTAAAAATTAAATAATTTATCAACCTTCTCACAAATCTATTAAATTTTAGTTGATTTAAATATTAAAAATTTTATCAATAAATTCTTACATATTAATAGAATTAATTACCTGTCTTATATCATTGAACTCATTAGGTAAAGATTTTTGTCCTAGTATTTCAACCTCATCCTTTAACCAAGATGGAACTTCTTGATCAGCCTAAAAATTATTAGATTAAATAGTTTTTTAAATATTTTTTGTATTCACAAATAAATACTCGTTCTAAGATTCGTATTAATTCAGAAGCAATAGTTCGGTCACTTTCTGGATCATAAAATGAAATAGCCTTTCCAGCATTTCCAAGTCTTCCTGTTCGGCCAATACGATGAACATACTCATCAATGGTTTTTGGCATATCAAAATTAACAACATAATTTACTCCTTTTATGTCTGAAATTCATTAATAAAAATGAAATAAAAATTATTAAGGATTAAAGGAAGTTACAAAAGAAGTTATAAGAAATAAAAAATACAGAAAGTTACATATGTATCTGTTTAAAATAATTTTTAGATCCTATATATCTTATCCTATAAGATTTTATATATTGTTAAGAACCCCTGAATATTATTTTATAATTGTGTGGAGTATATAATACATGGTCGTCCGACTGTCGTCGAACACAGGAATGTGCTGACCAAGGGTTTTAGGGCAACCATGGGCAAAGGACTCCCACTGTAGGTACCCTACAGTCAGTCGTGGTTTAGTATGCGCTAGTTACACTCATTCTATATCATTCTAAATCATTCTATATCATTCTATATCATTCTATGTCATTATATTTTATTATTCTATTCATTTGTATTAATATTAATAAATAACGTGTATTGTATTATTAATTGTGTCAATCAAATTATATATTCTAAAGTTTTATTGAAAAGTGAGTGTTTTCTTTTTCTCATTAAGTTTAATTCCTTTTACCACGTGGGCCCGCACAACAATATCTTATAGGTGTGTCAATTTTATTTATTAAATGGTAACATAAATATTTAACTAGTCTATAATGTAGAAAATTATTTAATCAAGAAAATGACTAGTCGATAACAACTTACACAACCTGTACTTCAAAAGTTATTAGCATTTAAAAAAACAGACTAGAGATGAAGTGTAGATGACACTTTTTAAGTCATTAATTATTTATCGTTTACACTTTTCCTGCCGCTTAAGAACAAAATTTAGAATATCTTCTAAAGCACTATTCCAAAATTTGTTATTGACCAATGATTTTCTTTCTTAATTAGATAATTTTATATTTCATAAGATGTCAAATATATGTTGTCATTAAAAATAGAGCTGACACATCTATAAGATATAAGAAATAGATCTAAATATTATTATAAACAGATAAATAAATTTACATATATAACTATGAAAATCCAATAAATAAATTTTCAAAAAACTTGTTATTTAAATAAAAACCGAGTGACTTGCATTAAAAGAATCCCCTTGTTTATAAGAGTATGAATAAAATAATATAAGAATAAAATTAATTTTATTAAAAAAATTGTATATTATTTAATGCTAGTAGTGGTTAATTTTATTTTTCAAATAAATTTAAAATAAGTATATTAAAAATATCAATTTTTGGCTCCCATTTTTTTTATTTGTAGACTACTGTGATATACCTTATAAATATAACAAGCTAAAAGCCGGAAGTGTTAAAGAATTTCTGAACTTATTAAAAATACTTAAGTGGAATAAAATAAATTATATGTAAAAAAATGAGGAATTTTAAAAATAAATAAGTAGCTATAGTACTGTAATCAATCATAAACAAATTTTTTAAACACTTTATCAATTATTAATTTTATAAGAAAAATTGAAATTTATTTTTAAACTTAATTTTGATATTCAAGATAAAATAAAAATAGTTTATTAAAATCAAATTGTTTATTAAATTAATTTGATGTATTTATACGGTAGATAATTAAATTTAATTGGAAATCTCTATAAATCAGTACTAGAAAAACTGTGTAAATTGACTAAATTGTAGTAATATATTGCCTTACTGACAATGCCTATTATCATTTACATTTAGGTTATTTATTGTTTTTTTTAAGCAGTTTTATTGTTTTCCTGAATCCTTAAAATAACTTTATACGTCTCAAACAATCATAATAAAAATCACTTGATTATTTTGAAACAAATGAATTTTTTTTTTTTCATTACATAAATAACATGACATTAATTTATTATATAATATGGAATAGTGAATTTTTAATTTTGATATCTTTTTCAAACAAAACTATAAACTTAAAAATATCCTCAAACCACAGAAATCAATTATTTTCATATTATAAATAATATTTTAATAACAAACTAAAGATACCCAATCCACGTGCAGCAACAGCAGTAGCCACTAAAATTTTCATTTTATTTGTTTTGAAATCTCTTAATGCTTGTTCGCGTTCTGGTTGTTCTCGATCACCATGAATACTTGTAGTAGGGAAATCTGATTCACTTAAATATGCAGCAATAAAATCTGCTGTCCTCTTTTGTTCAACAAAAACAATTGTACCCCGACAATCATCTGATAAAATTCATTTAAAATAAATATTTAGATTACAAACAAACAGTGGTTGTGTTTTTATAAAAAAAACATAAGAATTTTAATATAAATTTATTAATTTATTAGATATAAAACTTTAAAGTTTCAAACTTTTAAATTAATATACATGTATAATACATGAGGGGTTACAATACAGGTAGCTAATTGGTTTTTTATGTCGTTGCTATTGCAGACTCGGAGTATTTACTGTCAATTATTACTTTATCAATAGATATGCTTTCTGTATTTCCAGTTGGTGTATTTATAAACTCACAACAATGTGCCATACTACCATTGATAATAAATGCTACATATTTGCGAATATTGACGTCATAAAAAAACAATTAGCTACCTGTATTTGTAAACCTTCCTGTATTATACTAAGTATAATACAGGAGGGTTTACAAATACAAGTCTTATATATTAACTCGAAAATTTGAAATTTTAAAGTTTTATATCTAATAAACGAATAAAGTTATATTAAAAATTCAAATGGCATTTACTATTGAAATAAAAACCCAAAAATTTTATTAAATTCAAAATATGTATTTCTATTTCAAAAAACAAAGTTAACACCTTTACAATATATAAGGGATGAACTTTAAATGTATTACACAGCTAATAAATCCAGAATAATATGTTACTAATGTAACCCAAAAAAAAATTGTACTAATTATTTTTATTCTATAAGTAATTGAGTGGGTTATGATAAAAAAATCACTCTGTATAACCCATATATATGGCTTATATACCCAAAAAACTACAGGTCATTTCCTAAATTTTTATTCAAACAACTGAAAAAAGTGAAAATAATTTGCTTATTTTTCATAATTCTATATATTTAAGCTCAACCCTATCAGGTTCTGATATCTTTAATTAATTTTGATCTAACAAATATTCTACATTACTTTTATTTTAAATAATTTTTACAGTTCTGAACAACGTTAAAAGCATATTTTTTAGTTTTAATAAGAATAATAAAATAAATTAATCATAATACTGTGTTGACTACTTAAATTAAAACATACCCATTTCTTTTAAAAAATCACACATTTTTTTCTTCTTCTCAAATTTGTCAATTTTTAAAATAGTTTGCACAACATCTTTGCATGCTCCACCAATTTCACCTACTACAACAAAAATATAATCTGAATTTAAGTAAGACTTTGCCATTTGCTGCACATCACTTGACAATGTAGCGGAAAACATAAGTGTTTGTCTATTTATCTATAATATTTTTATAGTGTAACTTATTAATTTAAAAACTGTAAATCTTTTATTATTATTTATAAACAATAAATAACTCACCACTGCTGGCATAGTAGTATGGTTTAATATCTGGTCTATATCTGTTTTAAAACCCATATCTAACATTCGGTCAGCTTCATCAAGTACAAAAATTTGTAAAGATGAAAATATAACAATACCTCTTTTTACAAAATCATTTAATCGTCCTGGCGTGGCAATCAATACATGCACTCCATTCTGAATTTTTTTAAATAATAGTGAGTAATAAAATTAAGCTAAATGAAAAAAATATTTCTTTGTAATACCTGAAGTAATTTAAATTTTTGGTGATTAATAGATGTACCACCATAAAGAAGACCATTTTTTAAACTGGTACCTTTACTAAATTTCCATACCGATTCACAAATTTGAATGGTTAGTTCTCTTGTAGGGGCTAATATTATAACTTGTGGTTCACAATGTTCTTGGTCAAATATTAATTCTGTTTTATTATTATTAAGTAAATTTTGTAAGATAGGTAAAACAAAAGCAGCCTATAATTGTCAAAAAAAAATTATAGGTACATTATAATACAAATACTTATATAATTATTATATATAGATTACTGTTTTTCCAGAACCAGTTTGTGCACTTGCTATTATATCTCGACCAGACAAAATTATAGGAATAGAATAATTTTGAATTGGAGTTGGTGTTTTAAAGTTATAGTTATTTAAGTTCATCAATATTAAACTATTTAAGCTAGAGTTTTCAAAGTATCCCATACGTTTTGGAACATCATTTCCACTTACATTAACTTCAATTGTGTTATACTTATCAAAATTTAATCCAGCTTCAATTCCTCCATTTGAAACATCATTTTCGATATCAGGAGGGATATATTCTGCTTTATTAACTAAATTTTTTTTATGAATTTTATTACTTTTAGCTAGCATATAATTATCATTAGGTAAATATGTATTTCCCAATTTTCCTCTTCCTTTATAACTCATATGATCTTGATTTTTTTCAGTATTACTAGTGTTTTTATTTTTAATTTTATTTTCTAATAAATCAGCTTTATTATTAAGATTTTTTAGGAAACCACGACCACGACCATGTCCACAACCTTTGTTTTGGTAATTATTTTTAAACTCATTTGTGATAGTCTTATACTTTGAGTTATTTTGATTATTTATATTGTTATTAGTTCCCTGGTTTTTACATACATCTGAGAAGTTTAAAGCTTGAATCTTGGATTTGTTTTGTGACAAAATTTTTATATTTTCTTTTGGTAGATTGTTATTGTTATTTCCAGTTTTATTTTCTAAATTTGAATCCTCAATAACGTTTTCTGTTTCATTTTTGTTTAAAAATACATTACCATTATTGGTTTTATAATTGGCTGAGGTGAATTTCAAATTCTTATCACCATTTTCAATAGTTTCATTTTTTGTTTTTATAGATGGTTGATCAGTAGTGTTTGATACATTTATTTCATTTTCTGACATATTGATTGCTAAAAATATTTTATCGCAAAATAATTAATGTCTTAGGTGAAACATGGTCCTGTATTAAATAAATACAAATGCAAAAGGCAGTAGTGTAAATTAGATTAATTTTCAGGGAAGCTTTTATTTTGACGATCTTATTTTCCTCATGACAAAGAATTAATTAAAAATAATATAAGCGTAAAAGATACTTAGAATACCACAAACTAAAAATATACAATGATTTATCAAACTAATAGAATGGTTATTAATTGAGGAAGATCGTTGCCTTTTAAAACTTTTCTAGGTTTAACAATTGCAGCTAAGATTATCATGTATTCATGTTAAGTGACACCTGAGTTTGAATTAGGTTACTTTACTATAGCCTTGTACTAGTATAGTATTAATAATGATTTTTAATTCCAGTCTAGAAATGATAAAGAAAACAAAAAATGTAGTCATACATTTACTAAGAGAAAATGCTATTATTTATACACTATAATGTTATGTATTGATTGCTAATGTAAAGAAGAATCTTGTTGAATTAAGATAACTTAAAATTATTAATAAAAATGAATACAATTTTTTAGTTTCTATTTTCAACAAATAAGAATCAAATTTAATAACTATTATTAATATTTAAATAATTAAATTTATAAGTTTAATTAAAATATAAACATTATTTTTTAATAAAAAATGATTTTTTGAACTTCAATTAAGTAAGTGTTAAATATGACAGCGTTAAAAGAAAAAAATAAAGGGAATAATTGTCAAAATATATTTTATACATTTTAAATTAAAATTGATTAATATTTAAACATATAACGATTTTTAACTCACATATGAGTTCAACAAAATTTAATTTTTGTTGGAATGTAATTTCAGAGCTGTACTACAAAGTTAATTTAGGGACATTTTCAAAAACTAAAATTTTGTACTATGCTGAGTTTTTTTTTTTTTGTTATATATTATATTTTTTGTGATGTTATCCAAGTCTAAATTCCATAACTAAATTAGTTTGTTATGTTTAAAATGTATAATTATAATACAGCAAATTATCACTTTTTTTTTTTTTTTAGTAGGTGTCGATTATGATATATAAATATAATCTAATATAAAAAGATCTATAAAATGATTGGTAATTAATTTGCACTAGACTAATCTTTAACCTAGTAGAGGTTTATACATAAACTACACTTACTTTTTAAATTTTATTAAGTCCTGTTTTATACATTACAGTAAACGAGCAAACAAAAATAGGCCATTTTCACAATATTATAGAATTACGAGGTGTTCAAGAAGTTTTAATCAGTATTTTCTTTAAATGACAAAGATACTATGAAAATTGAAGTCTAATCCATGTTTAATTTTTAAGAACCAAAAAATTAATTTAAGATAATCAAAATTGAACCTAAATTTGGAAACAAGTAATTATTAAAATGAAAATTTTACTAGAAAAGAATTATACCAAAATTATATTAACAGTATATTTTAACGTAACACTTAAATATTGAAGGAACATATTAACATAAGAAACATACATTAAATCCTACTTACTTTTAATACTCCTTGTCATAAGTAATAATTTATTTAAAATCGTAATTATGAACTTAAATAACTTATTTTATTTCTAGAACTTGCATTGAGTTATAATATGGATGAATAATATATAGATAGCGTATCACAATTATTTTGTAAATATGTCGAAGTTAATACATCAGTAACACCTTTTTTCTATATAAAGAATGATCTTTCATTATCTTTCAAAGTTTATCTTATAATTTTAATGGTGATTACATATCATAATTAATATTCAACTTTGATATTTATAGCCATAATCTATATTATGATACATTCAAATTTGAAAAATTAATTTGTAATGAATCTTTTTAGAGAGTCAAAAAAAAATGATCATTGCGTCAAACGGATTCTGTTGTTCTATTAGATATATAGTTAAAATTTTATTTTTCGATAAACGTACAAGTTCAATATACGTGTATATTTGATAAACGTGTGGGTTGAATAAACGTTTACGTTCCATGGTTGTTTGCAAATAACTATAATATAAATAAATATTTTGAATTTTAAATTCACACAAATTTATATATTACTAATTACTATATTATTATTTATATATTATAAATATATTACTCTTNTGGATTATTAAATTGATAAGAATAATAATTGTTATTATTGATATTAAAGTATAATGTTTACAATTTTAATTTGTGTCAATCTCAGCATATTATGTTTGTAATAACTAATAAAAAGAGAGTGAGGAGAGAGAGAGAGAGTGATGTTAGATACCGTTAGATAATATAAATAAATTAATAGAAGGGATCGTTAGATGTGTGAAGTTAGAACGAAGATATATTTAAGCGAAAGAAGAAAATAATAAATTATAAATTAAAGTGTCTTTTATTAGTTATTACTATTAATTGTAGTTAGTGTGTTAAACTACTCTTACCTGATATATCTTGACTGCAAATCTTGTTTTACGGTGTAGAGAGAAGAAGAAGGCGAATTAGATTATTAGATGTTAAATAAATAGAAAAACAGTTTATTATGTAAGCATGTATTATAATTGATAGTCATTCGAACATGAATTTACATTAAGTTAAACTATTAAATTATATTAAGAATAAAGACACCAAGTCACAAAGTAAGACAGATGAAAAGTAAAAAGAGTGAAGCTGAGCACTTAAGTCTGAACGCTTGAGGTGGAAAAATAGAAGTGACTCTTCGACGGATTGTCAAAAGCTGATGAGATCCCAGAGGGCTCTTAGGTCTGTTATAATGAATCATGGTAATAAAAATTTTATGTGATAATATACGTTATTTAATTAAAAAGAAAAATTTCCTTTATAACGCGGTACGAGAATTGATTTGTGTAAACAAACAATCATAAGTAATACGTTGTATATTGCTAATCCGTACGTGCAGCTGTATGAACTCATTTATGGGTTTTACGGCAAGGACCATGCAAACAAAATTAAACTATTATACACCTCAGCGGCGTCGACATGTCACTGGCAATCGCCAACGAGACGTCTGAATTCAACTAAGTATCAAAATAATATTACATGTTTAAAAGGTTTTTTTTTGTTATAGTGTGACGCGGTCGCATTGCACTTCCGGCTTTACCGCTGGATGGCGACTGCGACACAGCTACCTCTCCTCGTCCGACAGGTCGCGCGACGCCGAGTGACCGCGGGTGACGCGAACCGGTCCAGGCCGCCGGCCACCATATACTTCATATATTATCGTAGTAAAACCATTGTCTACTTCCTTTTGGAGTTAATATTGTTGTTTAAGTTCTTATATATAATAAGTTAAAATATATGCTATCATAAAGTTGAACATAACGGTGTTATTAATTATTATTATTATTAAATTATCACCTAACCACAACAAGTGTAAACTGCTTTTATACTACTTTCCTAGACAATATTCACTTATTGGCTCTTGTCTCATTTTTCTTTCTTGAGTTTCTGGTTAGGATACTGTTTCAGTTTTTAGAATTTTGTGTGTTACAATTCCTGCTAATAGTATTTTTGTATATTTCTTAGATACTTTTAATATTTGTATTGTAATTTTTTTTTTTATGTGTTTCATTTCATTGAATNTGAGGTGCAGACGAAGTGCAAGACACAAATACCAGGTGTACACAAAAGGAGCCCAAAGTATGAGGTGCAGACGAAGTGCAAGACACAAATACTTTGGGTATAGGGAGGATAATGAAGTATGAGGTGCAGACGAAGTGCAAGACACAAGTACTCTGAAATGTTGTGGAAGAGAGTAGATAAGTTTAAAAAGGAATAAATAAAGACTTTACTTTAAGCAGTAAGCCGGACAGCGATAACCGAGTACTGAGACTGATGAATGACACAAGGCACTGGAGTCGACTGACCACGATGGTCAGGTCTTTTAAGTTTTTATAATAATTAGAACTATTGCCAATTTGGCAATAAATATTATTTGTTAATTCATCAGTCTCAGGCAGCGGATGTGCTGTCTGTATTTTAGCTTCGATGCGAAGCGGAGAAGGTATTAATTTTACTATGATATGTTTTTTTTTTTTTTTATGTCTGTTGCCACTTTTTCTCAGCTCTCACTGGACCGATTTCTTTCAAAAATACGACAAAAGATCACAAATCTTATCTAGTCGTAGACATTACCCTAAAAAATTTGAAAAATTTCCTTCGTTCCCCGTAAATGGGGGAAATCTCCAAAAAAATTACAAATTTAAAAATCGATAAATTTTGTCATTTTTTTCACTTTTTTTTCTTAAAACTTCCATAATTTTTTGAAAAATCAACAAATTAACATAATTTTTTTTTATACTAAAACCTTAGATATTTACCTTTCATTTGATATAATTTTTTTGAAAATCTATCACTTAACGTTCTCATTTGGGGAGATTTAAAATAGCAACTTTTTTACAAAAATTAACTTTTTCAACTTAATTTTTGAAAATGTTCCGGAAATACTGCGTCTTTTAAACATATATCAAATTAAAGCTTATTTTATGTACTATAAAATAAAAAAAAAAAATTTGTCCCGACAACCTATCTTCTATGCGCAAATGGCTACCATATTCAAAAATATGCTATTTTAACAAATTTTTTTTTTAAATTAAAAACTATCTACAGATTTGCATCGAAGCGTTTTTTATGATAGTGATTTTAATCACTGTCAGATATCATCTATACTGGACCCAACTATGCCACGACCCCACTGTGCCGCCACCCCACTTTTATTAAAATAATTCTCACGATAATAGTAACGTGACACCATCACAGTAACTTCATGACCATATTTTCATAGGAGTAGTGCTGCTCAAAGCCTTTTTCATCCGAACGGGCTGGATTATTCTCCTGAGGACACTAAGAGCTTCTATAATTTCTATGTTTGATGGGGATGCCTCGTTGTCTTCTTCTTCTTCGTCAGTATTGGTTTGTTCCATTGTTTGAGAATTCATTACCGCATTAAAAATCTCTTCTTCAGTTTGAATCTTTTTCGACTACCACTTTCATTTTCCATTGTTGCGCGTTCAATATTCGAACGATCTTTTAAAATCTTATTTAATGTGGAATGAGAAACGTTTAAATGAGCTGCGGCATTACGTAAACTAATTTTTGAAAGCACATCGTATGACTTTAAAAACTCGCATTTCTGTTTAAAACTTAAATTTTGGCGTTTAGACATTTTTAGGTTTTTAGAAAAACGAATCACTTATCACATTTACGTACGCACGCCGAAACTGAACTATAAAACATACGCACAGGAAAAGCATTCTCATACGTAATAAACACGCGGTTAAAAATAAACGTAAAGATAGCGAAGATAAGATTAAAGTACATTAGTTATCGCCGGATAACCAGTGTATATGTCAACCTAATTGTTTCAAATAACCGATATGATGTTTCAATAATCCGATTTATTTTCAATGTTCTGATATACGGCTGGTCCGTCCCGGGGCATTCTGTTTCAATAACGCGATTGTATCCATTTTCCGTGTTTCTAATATGCGGATTCCACTGTATCTTCTTCTTCTTCTTCCTCGCCTTAATCCCAACTACTTGGGGTCGGCCACTTATATATATCTTAAATTAAAGACAATATAAAATACTTTATTATGTTNCAATATGATAGAGAAAAATTGTAGTGGTTTGTTCATCATTATAACAATGATGATATTATTGAAATAATAAAATACTCTATCAATATAATAAGTATAACTTTGTCATATTGATAAATTCATCGTACTTATGACGAATTATTATTGTATATCTAAATCACTTTGATAAATAATTTTTCATGGTGATGAAATAATTTTTAAAGAATTAAGTAAATTTTTTTCAATATGATAATGAATTTTTATTAAATTAACATACCAGTGTACAAATAAAATCCCATATTAAATTATAAATTTAATCTTAATTATGGTAATAATTTACTTAAATAAACACGTTATTTAATATATATATTGTGTAGTATTTATAATATTAAAAATAATTTAATGAACAACTTTTAATTTTTCAATAGTAAATTATAAATAAAACCTTTACACATGTGTATTTAAATAGACATATGGAATATAAACTGAAACGGCGTATTTATCACCTTTTATTTTTAATGAATTTTAAGAAAGCTTACAATCTGTTTATAGTATAAACTTTATACATTGGATGTAAAATTAATTTTAAATAATCAAATAAAAATTAATAATTTACAAATAATTAATACAAATGAAAAGAAGAAAAATATAAAGTGAAAAAATAAAAGGATTTTTCAATATAATATTAATATAATAATATTATTTTACTATTTTGTTGAGATCATGTAGCACTTGTTTTACTGTTTGGTGGGAGTAGTCGTTCTTTAAAAATAATTTGTAGTAATATTGTTGAATAAATGTCCAGACAGCACATGATGGAAGTGGGTATTCTAAATTAAAAACATGGAATATCTTAAAGCAGACATCCACTGCTCTTATTATTGAAAAAATTTTATACTTGATGGCATCAAAATATAATAATATATCTCGTGGTTTTAAAATCGTGCCAATAATTAAAATGAATGGTTGTATTGGCTGATTTCTACTTTGTAGTAATGCGATATAAGCTTCAGCTTGGTCAACTGTCTCGTGGAAACTAATTAATGAATTTTGAGAGTCCTTTATAGAATATTTAATGATATTTTTTTTTCCATTTTCATCTCTCGTCACTTTTCTCGACGTTGGCACGAAAAGCGAGCTTAATAGATAGAAGAATGCTGTATTTTTTCCACCTGACCAAGAAAATAATTAATTTAATGCTAAAATATCCTTTTATTAAACTGCTAAAATATTTTGATTTATATTTATAANACCATCGATTATTAGGCTATACAGCTACGGCGGCAGTGAGAGTGGTGAACGGTCATTTAATAGCAATGTGACGAAAATACTTATATATATATATTAATTTAACGTGATTAATAGTAGACTATATAAATATTTATATAGTTATTAATTTTATTGTGTTTTACAATATTTTACTAACCTATTTAGTTCTTTATGTATCTATTTAAATTGTATTAATCGTTAATTGTGTAGCCCTTATAATTTTGTATGTCATATGATAAAAATGGTTTTAAAACGTAACATTTTGGATGGAGGAAAATAAAATTGCATTTATGAAATACAATGTGAAAGTTGTCATACATTTTACGTAGAACAAACAAAAAAAAAATAGGGGTCAGGTTTAAAAAACACTCAAGAAACATTAAAAACCAAGAATTTGATAAATCTCCTGTGGCTGAACATTTATTGATACATAATTACTCCATTAATACCATAAACCAAATTAAAAACGTAAATAATTACAAAGGGACAACAGTAATGTTTAAAAATAAGAAAAATTTAATTAATTAGGATCTGAAAAATTCATTATTAAACTTGTGTAAACTGGCAAATGTTATAATATAACCCAACCAAACGCCATTAGGTGTTAAAGTCACTAGAGATATACAAAAGGTTTTTTTCAGTCAATATGTTTAGCGTTGATAATGGCAACAATATTTTCTAAATTTATAGATCTTTTAATAATTTTTTTGTGACTTTATGTTAAATATTTTTTTACTTTTAAATAAATATTTTTAATGTAATTTTAAATTTAAATAATTAGCTACAAGTGATAAATTTTTATTATAATATTGTATTTGCTTCTTTTTTTAATAACATATCTTCTTTTATATAGTAAAAGTAGCATTGCTCTTTCTGATTTTTCTTTTGTTTCATAATGACTGCGTGGATGATAAAGTTTCGTACTAGTTTCTGTATATTTTATCGGTGAAACATGATTTAAAAATCAAAAGATTTAGATTTTATGTGCAATATATTTAATTTTCTTATTGTTGGTGTGATTGATAATAAACACGTTAAATCTTGTGTTATAAAAGAAGAACCCCTGTTTTTATTGAACTATTCAACATAGTGGAATTCAATGTTAATATAAAATATATCTATAACAAATTAGTATACTACTTATTTTTGAAGTTTTGAAGAGTCTTGACCCAATACTTCCCTAGTAAAAATCTAATCAATTTTATTGTAATGAACCATCGATATAAAGAAATACATTATTTCAAATAATGTATTTCTTTATGTTGATGGGGTGAACACAAATAACTTACAAAAGGGTTATCAAAATACCGAAAATTTTATAGATAAGATATGACATATAATAAAATTTTATCAATATTTCTTAATTTTGAATCATGCATAACCAGTGAAGCATAGGTTAGGTTGTTGTTTTTATCATAGATTAAATCACGGTTATTGAGACAGGTTTGGCTAAAGAGTTGAGTTGTTATAGATAAAGCGATATATGATAATAATATGATTATTAATTATGATACTAATATGATTTCCTCACAATTATTTTTGAAGTAATAATACAATTAGAGTTACAAGGACACAAATCAAAATTCAATTAGGTTCCTTTTTCGTGTTCAAATTTTACTTAAAATATGATACATGTTATCTTTTCTCTTGATAGTCTATGACACCATTGATTCATGATCATTGTCCAGACTTGAAGTTGAGTTACTATTCATAATAACCAATAGCTTTTTAAGAATTTTTATTTACACCAGGAAATGTTAATATTAACGTTAAAAAAAGAATACGTTTTACAAATGATATTTCTGATAATTCTGCAATTCAAACACTGTAATAAATGTTAAAAGGGTAAACTTAAAATTTGTGACATTTAATTTTAATTAACAAAATAAAAATTCAAGTATTTTCAAGTACAAAATTGAATTAAATGTGATAATTAATTACATTGTAGAATTTTATATAATAACGGATTTGTAAAATAATGTGATAAGTTTTTAACGGAAAATAAACAACGATTTACTGATAATAGCTCTTTAAAAGTAAAAATATTTTATTAAACACTAGACGGCGACATATAGTCAGGTCCTAAACATTATTAATAACGGTACAAAGCATTGAAGAAACCAAACCTATCTGTTTAACCGTTGATTAAATATACCTAATGTGTACATACATTTAACTATATTTTATGAACATCATTAATTGTGTTTCTTGTATACTAGTTGTATTTTTGATAAGATTTATTGTTATCGTTGATTAATAGTTATGAACCACGGTTAAATTAATTACCAACTATAATTTCTGGATTAACCCTACAAATACAGATCACTAATCAGTTGGTATTAGATCGTATTTTTATTAAAAATTTTGTGATCATAGTTCGTTGCCTCTCGAGTTATTACAAATTTTTGTCAATAAATTTCCTGATATTAATTAAATTTGTTATATAAATCATTTTGTCGAATCAATAAACACAAATGAAGAACTTATTGTGAGCAAAAATTATTTTATCACGAGTTAAAATTGCTTCGATATTATTTCTTTTAAAAATAAAACGTCATTATTAATATATGTTTGTCATGATTATCATATACATAATATTATTAACTTCTATGGAAGTATTTTATATATTTTTTCTTGTAAAATCATAACTAGCCATAAAATGTATTTTTATGTTTCAGTAGGATAAATTTTATTATTAAAATTTATTATTGTTTAATGCATTTTATTTTATTTTTAAGGTTTGCAATGATTTAGTACTTGAAATAATCTGAATAAAAATATCACAATATTTATAATATGAATTTTCATATTGAATTGGATTGGACATCCATAAAATTCTTATTTTATGATAGTGGTTCCAATACCAAGAGTAACTTGACATGTTTATTAAAATTTTTATTTCAAAAGTATGTTTTTTGAAAGATTTTATATTATTAAATTTTTATATTGTTCATATGTAGTAGTATATTGAATAAATATTTATAAAATTAATTTTTTTTGCTTATTGTTTTATAGTGAAAATTATATTTTGGAACATAACATCATTGAAAACAAATTTTATCTTTATTTTGTCATTTTAGCTGCAAATTATATTGGTCAACATTGTAATTTATGTAATATTAACTATATCCATTAAAGCTATATTTATTAAAATGAGTTTTAATAATTTATTTTGTTTTTAGTTGAAACAACTGAGCTTTCTGATGTAACGAAAGGTTGTAAAATCCTTATGAAATGCCTTCTTTCATTTATGGAACAAATTAGAGAAAGTGATGGTTTGGATTTATGTTCATCTAATTTAAACTTGTCTTTAGCAGCTATTTCAGCTCTCTGTACTGCAAAGCCATTAAATACCTCCGAGTTTGTTTCTGTTGTAGCTTTTATAAAAGAATGGCCATCTAATAATACACCATTATATGGTATGTTACTTATAAACCATAAATATTATTTATTATGAATTTTACTTTAGAGTTCATAATGATTTAAAATATAAGCATTATGGCTGAATATATGATGTATTAGAGTATAATGAAAACAGACTAAAAACAACATAGAATTCTAATAAGAATTTAGTAAACTAATTTTAATTACTAAATGTCACATATAAGCTTTTAAAAAATAGCCTTAATTAAAAAATTGATCAATTCATTTATCTTTATGTTATTACTATTTAAAAGTCAGAAAGTTGTAAATAATAACCTGAATTTCAAATAGATCTGTTTAATATTTTTGTGCCTACAAAACTAAAATGTTATTTTTTGACTTTTTATTGTTAAATTAAATTTTAACTTTAAAAATGATTATATTTGTGGCATCATGTTTGGATTTGATAGTAGAATATTATATAAAGAGCTAATATCTCTTTAAAAATTAGTAATTTAAACTTTTTTTTTTAAAATACTTCAGAACAGGTAATTTAAATAGCAATAGTTAAGTAATTGTCAGTAAATAAAAAAATAAAACCAGAATTTTAATTTTTAATTTATATAAATTTTTTTAAAATATTTTCTTAAAATAGAATTATGAGTCATATTATAAGAATAAATAAAACTTGAGATTTATTATTTCTTAGTATAATGTTCTATTTATTTTATTTAATTTATTTAGGTGATAATGAAAATGATGGCAAAAAAACTCAAGTTTATGCATCTATTGTTGATCAAATGGTCAAGCCCTTAGACAGAAGTAAAATATGTACTAATAATGTAATTAACACACATAATGTGGATATTAAGGTATTCAATATTTTTAACATAAATGATGTACACATTTAAAGAGAAATGTTTAAAAATGTGCTTTTTATTATAGCAATTGTTAATTGAAAAAAATATTTCTAACTTACAAGAATTGGGGGCAAATTCTATTATTTTTGAAACTTGTACTAAACTTCCAATGCTTAAAAGATATATTATTAAAATGGATGCCATTTTGTTAAATGGAAGTAATATACATTTAATTGATCCAGTTGGAGTTAAGCTTTCGTAAGTATATTTTAAGTTGCATTGAAATAATTTGTTGAACAGTTGTTTATTCTTCATATTCTTTTATTTATGGTTATAAATTTCTTGAAATAAATTAGTGAATAAAGTTATAAATTACTGATTTAGATTTTTTTATTTTTATCATACACATGTCACTAACTTTGAATAATGTTGATTTGAAAATTTCAATAATACAATTATAAAGCAATTGTGTATTTAAGGTTTATTAAAAAAGAATGTGATTTAAATATTTAGAAATTTTATTTAATTAGTTTTATTGTCCGATGAGGTGTCATAGATATTTAAAATATGGTTTAGATTTTCATAAAAATAAAAGTGATACCAGTGTTGGGAAAGTTCCTTTTTAAATGGAATTCGTTCCGTTCCCCGTTCATTTTCTAAAATATGAACTCGTTCCAGATCCTAATTCTTTATATTAAGAAGGAACTTGTTCCAGATCCAGTTCCTCCAAAATAAGAACTTGTTCCACTCTTCGTTCCTTTTATAAGTTATTTAAAAAATTGTGGCAATGAGATCATGATAACGGTCATCAATGATTTTCATCAGCAGTCGAATACAAAACAAATTTGTAGTATTCCTTATCTAAAAGTATTCGAAAATTATATTTATAAGCAGGTAGTAAATGCTAACGACTTGTGTCAACGCGACCAATGTCTATTGTCTACATATAAGTTAGAAATAATAAATCAGAAAACCCAAAACCTTTAACATAAATTAGTTAACAAGAAACGACGATAATATTCGGTGCATTATTTAATATATGTACACATATATTAAATATTTACTGTATACCTACATGTGATAATAACTCTATCTATAATCAATTGATTCATTTAAACAGCCTACGATCTCGGCTGGGTATATAGGGGACTTCCATTGTCAAAAGTCAACTAAAAATACCATAATATTTTAATGTCTAGATACGAAGAAAACTACACTAAAACATGTTTATAAAAATTTTTAGGAACTGTAATTTCCGTTCACGTTCCTTAAAAAATGTAATTTGTTCATTTTCCTCGTTCCTTTATTTTAAAAGGAAGCAGTTCCTAGCATCGTTCCTTCAAAAAGAACTCGTTCCAGGAATCCGTTCCTTTTGGAACTAGTTCCTTCTCAGCAATGAGTGATACAAAGATATACTTCTTAAATATGTCCAGAATTTTTGTCTATTGTAGTTAATTACAAAGTATGGAAAAATGAAGTTTAATCTATAATAAATGTGATATTTAAAAACTTCCGAATAAAGTTATGTTTTTACTTTTTGAGGAATTATATGCAGAATATATTTTTAACTTAAAGTAAATTGATAAATAAATTTAAATTTATTATATTTAAAGGTGTCGGAATTTTTATATATAGTTCATGTGCAATATTTCTTTTACTTAGGAAAATAGTTAGATTTAAAAATAAAAATAAAAAACACTAATGTCTAACTAATGTATTAGTCTTAATTATTTTATGTTTATATTTATATTCTTATCAATTAATTTTATGGTAAAAAATAAATAAAAAGTAACCAATAATGTTTGTCAATTTTTATGATATTGTGTCTTGAATAAAAGAATTGGAGAGGGGTTTTATTTAATTGTTTGTAGGTTACATCTTCAATTTGATAAAAATTTGAAATCTTTGATATATTGATGGACAAAATTTGTTTAATAATAGATTAATATTTGTAGTGATTGACACACACAAAAATAAATTAAAGTGTAAAGCATATAATAGTAAAATTAATTTTTATCTTGGTTACAAATCTAAATTTTTTAATTTAAATGATTAAATCTAAAAAAAGAAAATTTATTTATTTTTTAATTATCACAATAAAAGTTAAATTGTAAATACATTAAAAATTAGAAGTTTATTGTTATGAATTGTTAACTTTTTGAAATCTAAATATTTTGAATGTATTACAATAAACTTTTATATAATTTCAATAATTGATTTTAGTAGGGTCAAAACCAAAATTTTTAAATTTATTATGAATTAAATAAAATAGGTTCCTAAAAATTTAGTGTGAGCATAAGTAAAACTTGATTAAATAAGTAAAAATAGTTTTTTGCAAGAATATATCTTGATATTCCAGTTAAAAGGTAAAATATTTACCATTAAAATAACTATAGTATTAATAAGAAAAAGAGAAAATTAATAACAGACTAGTTTCAGGTATTCTCTCCAGTATCACAGATTTGAAAATGGTGTCATAAGTCTCTGTTTCTTTATCGAGAGATCAGTCAGTAATTAAAGTTGCTATCTACCTCTCACTTAGGCAATGCCTTAATCATTTTTCCTAGAATATTAATCCTTAAGGAAACTCTTTAATTCATAAGGCCAATATAGCTCTTAACCAAAAAATGTGAAAAAAATAATATCTTTCTAACCAGTTTATTATATTTATTATTATGCTTGTTATGCTATATTAAGTATTTTAGCAAATATAAGTGTAAGATTCCATGTAAATCATTTAGTATTTTTTAAAGAAAAATGTTTATTGACTTGATAATCAATATTACATTATATATTCTATGAAGGTTCTGTCCTACTACATTTATATATTTGACTTAGTTTACTAAATTTTAATAAATTAAATAAAAATGAATATGATTTTATTTTCAGATATAAATTTATGTTGTTGGACATAACATTTGTTGAAAATGCTTTGATGCTACCTATTTTTGAGCCTCTAACAGGAGGATGCTTACAACAACTAACTTGTATTATGATAGCTTGTGTCAAGGTTGCTTTGTTTGCTCAAGGTATTAATTACAATACTACAAGTTCAGGTAAGTTTGCTAATAAGTTAAATTATCTTAATACTTTAGCAACATCCAAAGTTATTTTGATCAAGGTTTCATTACAATATATAAATACTCATACAAGGTACCTTCTCGTGTTCTATTCTTATTTTATAACTTTTTATGCACTGAATATTTTTACTACTTCTTCATTAAAACTTTTTAAAGTTTAGCACTATAGTTTTATATTATAAAATTTATATATTTTTTTCTTTTATAAAATTTTTATTTTTAAATTACTAGAAATGTTAAAAAAAATATCCCAACAACGCAGGGTTGAGGTTCAGTATAATATTAAGGACATGTATAGATGATATCTTACAGTGATTAAAATCACTTTCACATAAAATGCTTTGATTCAAATTTGTAGGTAGTGTTTAATGTTTAGTAGGAATAATTTAATTATTCCAAAAGTAGCATGAACTCCTATTTCCTTAATTACATCCTGATTACAAGTTTTATGATTTATTAGTGTAATACATGAATAATTACTTATAACATGGGTGCGGAGGATTGACGTCTGGTTATAAAAAGTGTACCAGAATTTGTGTGAAATAAAAGCACAGTACGGGGTTAGAACCCGAGATCCAAGGTGTTGTATAGATAAACCATACTATACCACCACTTACTTATAATTCAGATCCTGTTACACTTTTATTTAGGTTTATAATGTTATGTGCAGCTTAGAGAAACAATTTCTCTGTAAATGGTGGAAGTTTCCAAAAAATTAACGATTTTTAAAATTTATGAATAACGACATATGTTATATTGTTTTTATGCTCATATTGTTTATATGAAGAGTATTTATTAGAAGATAAATATTTTAAGCTCTTATTAGATGTTTTCTATAATTTAAATATTTAAATTAAATAAATGTTTACTATGTATTTACTTTTTTAATCCTAATTTATTTTTAGATAATAATTCCAGTAATGAAGAAGATATTTTGTGGAATCAAGCAGTCAAAACAATTGAAAAAACTGTCTCCATAATGCAAATAGTTTCTAACACTTTAAAAAATTACTCATATTTAGTAAGTGCATCTTTTTAATACACTATATTTTTTTGTATTTTTTGAGTTTTTTGTTACTGTAACCTATATTTTCATAAACCATTTGATATATTTAAAGGTTCATCAGAATTATAATATGATTGTCACTTGGGTTCTTCTTAATGGTCTAAATGATATAGTACTAAAAACTTATGAAGTAAATCCAATTAAAGATGAAAAAGTCATAAAACATAAGGGAAAAGATGTTTCTTTGAAATTTTCATCCAAAAAGTATGAACATCTTAATTAATAGTTATGTATAACTATACAAAATGTTACATAGAAAAGTATTCTATATGTGTGTATACAGGGTGTTCAGTAAGTCAGGAAACGGGTTTCTATTGTTCTCATTGTTACAAACAATGAGAACAATAGAAACCCGTTTCCTGACTTACTGAACACCCTGTATAATAGTTTCAATTCAGTTTTAAATAATAATTAACACAAATTTTATTAGTCTTACAATTATATGCCTAGTTAGTGTAATATATACTATTTCTCTTGATTTGGAAGATAGAAGTAGTGTAAGATAATTTTTTTAATTAACTTATTACCAAACTATATATTAACTAATTTGACTTAAAAAATATATATATAAACATATCTATACAGGGCCTTTGGCTTAATGTATGTCATGGGTAGTAAGATTATATTCTGTAGGACCTAGAATAATCAAAATTAAAATTTTTTATCTCCAAAATTGGTTTTTAATGGGAAATATTATAATCCATTTAAATAAATAATGAAAGACTAAATAAACTTATGAAATTAAAAAATATCATACTATCAATGGGTTTTTCTTGTTGTGTAATTATCAAAACTAAAAATAAACCATATCACAGTACTCCCAGTGATATTTTAATACAATTTGCAAGGTTATGAAATTTACTAAATATCGAGTGACCACTCAATTTGAATTTCCTGGAAAGTATTGTTATAAAAAGCTTAATTTTGGATATAGAACATTTTAATTTTTGGCGTTGCTATTTTTAGGCCCTACTAAATATTACCTTACTATTTAATCTTATTGTTTAGTGACATACATTTAACCAAAACCTGTATATGTATATATATGTTATAAACTATTTCAAAGCAAGGTTTCTTAACAGAAGTATAGTAGGTAGTAAACATAAAAAAAACTTATTGTGTATTGAACACTTAGCTGGCTAAATAATTTTTGAGTTATGTTTTTGATTAAATAACAACAAATATATAAATTTATACATACTGTCAAAACAATTGTACTACCCAAATGTCAATTAATCAGTTAACATTGCAAGCAAGAATAAGATAAAACTTTTAGTTTTTAATTCTGAAAATCAACTAGAAGCCTTTGAATTATTTCAGCAAAGGATAATAATTCAAAGTAAAGTGTAACAAAATGTCTGCTCAATGTAGCAATGTATGTCAAAATTTGAATATTTTTTAAATTTAAAAGTTAAATAAAAAATTTTCTTGTTGTTGATGGGTTAATATTAGTGAATTTCCTTATAATATATTTGTAAAAAAAAAATTGTAATAATTTTAACGTCAATGTTTCTGACGTTTTAGTTATGGAAAAATATTGAATGTATATTTAGAGGATGAAAACCACATTTAAAGAGTTTATGGTTAATATTTCCTTGTTTAAATAATGTTAGAAAATAAAACAAATATTATTATAAAAATGACAAAATCTTTATAATTATAATTTAATTGGAAATTTGTACACTTGATTAATTGAAAATTGTTTTGTTAAAGTTCTTTTTGTCTTACTAATACATTCACACCAATCCAAACCACCTTTAAGGAATATTACTTCCCTCGTACTTCTAAAATCTTATGTGTGTGATGTACATTTATTATAAAATCAAAATACTGAATATTTTATCTTGATTTGTGTATGACTTGTGATAAATAAGTATTAATTAGCAGATAGTTTTCATTTTAAAAATTTATTATATGATCTCAATTTTTATAATAAATTCTTATACTATTTAAAACATATTTAAATTCATAGGCATGCATAGTTTTATTTCTACTCATTTTAAAAATATTGATTAAAAAAAAATAACAGGTAGTACCTTGCACAACCTTTTACTGTGTTTTTTTTATTTGCTTGGAATAGAAGCTGTATGTAAATGTCATATTTAACAAATTTATTGTTTTTCAATTGTAAATTTTTTAAATTATCTATTATAGTTAAAATAAGTATATTTTTTAGTTCTTTCAATGTTTTATCTGTCACACTGGCAAATGAAATGTTCAATATGATATTAGACAATTTAGAAAATGCAAAAAAAGAATCAATATCTGATAAAATGATGAGACTAACAACACAGTCAGAAATATTACCAGCAAAATTAGATATCTGTTCTAATACTCGTGCATGTGAAAGATTACAAAGAATTTTTCAAACTATTCCTGTAGTTAAATTTTTCTATCAGTTAGCTACAGTTTGTCATCGAAAGGTAATTTAAAAAAAATATGATAATTATATATTATATATATATATATATATAAATTAAATTTTACCTTATAAAACAAATTGATTGATAATTATAAAATTAATGAAAATAAATTATATAATAATATGTTTCAATAATATTTTTAAGTTAATTTATTACTATAATCTTTAAAATACTAATTTATAGTATTTGATTCTGTTGTTCTTAGCTTTGTAGGATACCCTACCATTTTTATCAGGACTAAAATTTTTATGAAAAAACGTAAAAATATCTTTAAAAAAAATTTAAATTGTACATATTTTATTGATTTATTACCTATAAAAAATGTTTACAACATATTAATTAATTATTTATTGAGTAATGTTACAAACTGTTTAGTTTTCAAACCAAACCAAACTGAACTTTTAATTTTCTACTAAAAAATAACTGAAGTTTTTTATAGTCAATTGGTTTGAAAATTGAAATAGATTTTAACTATAAATAGTGTGCTGATTTTCTGAAGAATAATATAAATAATCTTGCTTAAAAAATTAATGTTCTGTTTGGTTTGGTTTAATCACACAAACTATGGGTTTTTATCATCACTTATTAATTCTAAAAATAATGAATTCTTAATAGCAATTTTGCTTTTTCTTGACAAATTGGCTTATAATTAGATAAGAACAATCAAAAGGACATATGTTATTTTTCAATTGGATAACTTAGTTTAAAGTTATCATTAGAATTAGTGGTCAGTTTGTTTTATCTATTAGTGTTTAAAATTAAGTATAGCTCTAATTGAATGTCTTTAATATATTGTATTTCCTATTTTATGAAGATTATGCTTTTAATTATGAATAAAAATAAAATAAATGGGATTCACGCTTTAAGTTTGGAATCAGTAGACATGTATCCTGGAACATCTGAAAGTGCAACACCCGAAGAAGATGGTAAAGAATATATATAGTTTTTTTTTACATTTGTTTTGTACATATTTAAATGTATTGAATTGTATTTTAATGATAGATATAGATCATGAGTCATTGTTTGGAGCTTGGTTTGAAGAAGTTTTAACATTAGGTGATCAACAAATTGAAAATATGTCATCTAAAAATCAAGTAACTGATTATACTTTAGATCAAAGCGTTGTTGGTGCTTCAGTTTTAAAAGTAGTACCAGAAGCCGATGATCCAGAAGCGGTAATTGGAAATTGTTAAATAATTATTATTAAAAAAATGTAAAATATATTTATCTTTTTTATAGTATTTGATATTAATATCAAGAATATTTAATATATTAGACATTTATTTTTTGAACACTGAATGTGACTTAATTACTAAATATATGGCCAAAAGTGTGCAATCTGATCATCTTGTTATCTTAGGAAAATTAATAAAAGAAGTGGATTGGGCTCCTATCAACTATGATCTTTGTATGTTTAGCAATAATAAAAAGAATATTTAATCTTTCAATTTTTTTATTTTAGTGTGTATTAATAATTCTCACCAAAATGTTTCTTCTTCAATTGGTATATTTTTACATAATCTAATTGCTAATGACTACTTACCAGATCTTCAGCAAAATGAATTACTGGAATTAATTGGGATTACAATTCCACTTGGAATAGAAAACAATAAATGGCCATTGCAGATATATCCTAGAACATTAGCGATATTAGCACAAGTATTGTGTTGATCTTGTAAAATAATTTTATATGTAATAATAAAAGTTTTAATTGTTATAATATTTTTGAAAATAGGTATTGCTGAAAAAAAATATGGCTGAAAGGGATGAACTATCGGTGCAAATATGGAAAAATCTTATTTATACATTAAGTAATATAATTAAATATCCAGCAAATACTTTAGAAGATTTTGAAGGTAAAATTAATTTAATCAAACTATGTTTTTATTATAAGTTGATTTTTCATTTTTTTTTTCAGACTTAAATGTGGAACATGCTCAACTTTTAATATTTTTATTTAATTTAATGTCACTGACTTATAAAAAAAACATTCTTCTTTCTATTTGTAATACAATAGTTGAAGCTAAAATCTGTCTTGATTGGAATTCAGTTTATAATAATCACATATTAGCTTTAAGTAGATTACTCTTATTCTTTGATTACATGGTTCGAAGGTTATATGATGTTCCAGAATATTTAATAACACAAGTAATTATGTTTAAAATTTTATATTAGTAATATTTTATATATTGTTGTTTTCGATAGAATTTGAGTTATATTTAAAAATTAAACAATAATTTTTATAAGTTTTGAAAAGAAAAAATTATATTATATTTTATATTTGTGGATACATTGCATGTCATATATATAGTTAGAAAATAATCCTGTATAGTTAAATAAAAAATAGAGGCAATAAAAATGTTTAAAAACAAAAATATTTGGGATTTGATTCTATAAAAGTCGTTATAAAACTAGTGTAAACAGGTAAAAACTAATGTTAAAGTTAAACAGATGAACATCATAAAGGGTACAAATAGAGTGTATTTTTTGGGAGAGATCTATTTGTTTAGTGCTGATGATGAAAATTCATCTGTCAAATTATATTTATAGTTTTTAACTAATAATATTTTTTTAACATTTAGTTAAATATTTAAAAAATTTTTTAGTATAATTTTTAAATTACAAACTGAAATATTAATAGGAACAGTGATTAAAATAACTTTTGTAAACACTAATTAAAATTACTGTGTAATATGTAATTTAAAAAAAATGTATATGTTAAGATGTTTATAAAATAAAAGTTTTAATTATTCAAAACAATTTATAAGTTCCTTATTAGTTAAACCTTTCATATATAATGCATTAGATTGAAATTTAAAGTCAAATATTTTTTACTAGGTGGAATGGAATTTAATGCGTGTTAGAAGTGAAATAAAAGATAATTTAGATGAAGTTCAATCAATTGAAGAAAATAATTATATGACTTATAATTCAATTGAAGATAATATTCGAAGTAAATCTGATTTCAATGGAAATTCTTTTGCAGTAAAACCTTGTTTTTATAAGTTTCTTGATGATAAACAAGTTGGAAATGAAGTACCTAAGCTAGATGGATTGGTAAGTATTACAGAATCATTAAAAGTGGTTATTATTACTTAATTTAAACTACCATTTGATCTCTATTTCATTTAAAAGTATTTGGACATTATTTTTGTAACTTTTTTTAATTTGTATTTAAATATTTCGTTTATAATATTTAAAATAATTAGGGATCAATAATTTTAGCTTTTAGCTTCGATGCAAAGCTGAGAAGGTATTAATTTTACTATGATGTGTTTTTTTTTATTTTATTTTATTTTTTGTGTCTGAACGCTCAATCTCAGCTCTTGCTGGAACGATTTTGATGAAAAATATGTCACAAAAAAGATCACAAATCGTATCTAGTCGAAGACATTACCTTCGAAATTTGAAAAAAATTCCCTCATTTCCTGTAAACGGGGGAAAGAAAAACGTATGATTTCCGTGAAAAAAATTCTCGATTTTATATTTTATATTATTACATTTATATTGTCGATAATATATATTTATATTGCTATAACTTTTGGAAAAATCTATGGATCAATATTATTATATTTTTATAAATAATTTTTATATACCCCTTTTATTTGACACGCTTTTTTTGTAAATCGGATCATATCTCTTTATACAAGTAGGGGTCAAAACTTTAAACATGCATAGTAAAACAAAGACATTTTCAATTTAATTTTTAAAGTGTTCCAGAAATACTGACTCTTTTATGTATATCTTAAATTAAAGCTTATGTAATATACTTTAATTTGAAGAAAAAAAAGTTTGACCTCTGGATTTGTTTTCATGGTGAAAATGACTACCATTTTAAAAAATATGCTTTTTTTGTGTTAAAATTCTGGGTTTTGTACTTTTATTTTAAAATACATGACAAGCGGAGTATACTGATTTGCATAAATATTATATAAATAAAATTGATATAGCATAGAAAGTTAAACTTATTTAAATTTTATAGATACATTAGGTATTAACCTATCATTTTATATAGTTTTTTTTATAAATCTGACCCTTAACCTGCCTACAGGGGGGCATTCAAAATAACAACTTTTTCAACTTAACTTTTAAAAGTATTCTGGAAATACTGACATTTTTATATATACAGTAGAAACCGCTTAATAGGAACACTTTGGGACCAAAGAAAAATATGTCAATTAACCGATTGTTTCTAATAAGCGACGAGTTTAATTTGTACTATTAAAAAAATGAAAAATTTATAATTAATACATAAAAAGTCAAGCCTTATAACTTAATCAAATATTTTATTTAAAATACGTGTCTATCGAAGTTTGTTATTTATTATTGAGTAATGTCGTAACACGATAAAATGAAATGAGTATATGTAAAAGGTTATGTGCACGAAGAAGAATATGAGGATGTGGTGCCTGCTGTCTAGGTATTCACGTGCGTATTGTCGTACAGCAGTCACCGTGCTCGGCTGACACTCCGGGTTAGCTGTGGGTGTCGAAAGGCTGTTGTTATAAGAAGGGAATCAGGGTAACACCTAGGTATGAGGTGCAGACGAAGTGCAAGACACAAATACTAGGTGTACACAAAAGGAGCCCAAAGTATGAGGTGCAGACGAAGTGCAAGACACAAATACTTTGGGTATAGGGAGGATAATGAAGTATGAGGTGCAGACGAAGTGCAAGACACAAGTACTCTGAAATGTTGTGGAAGAGAGTAGATAAGTTTAAAAAGGAATAAATAAAGACTTTACTTTAAGCAGTAAGCCGGACAGCGATAACCGAGTACTGAGACTGATGAATGACACAAGGCACTGGAGTCGACTGACCACGATGGTCAGGTCTTTTAAGTTTTTATAATAATTAGAACTATTGCCAATTTGGCAATAAATATTATTTGTTAATTCATCAGTCTCAGGCAGCGGATGTGCTGTCTGTATTTTAGCTTCGATGCGAAGCGGAGAAGGTATTAATTTTACTATGATATGTTTTTTTTTTTTTTTATGTCTGTTGCCACTTTTTCTCAGCTCTCACTGGACCGATTTCTTTCAAAAATACGACAAAAGATCACAAATCTTATCTAGTCGTAGACATTACCCTAAAAAATTTGAAAAATTTCCTTCGTTCCCCGTAAATGGGGGAAATCTCCAAAAAAATTACAAATTTAAAAATCGATAAATTTTGTCATTTTTTTCACTTTTTTTTCTTAAAACTTCCATAATTTTTTGAAAAATCAACAAATTAACATAATTTTTTTTTATACTAAAACCTTAGATATTTACCTTTCATTTGATATAATTTTTTTGAAAATCTATCACTTAACGTTCTCATTTGGGGAGATTTAAAATAGCAACTTTTTTACAAAAATTAACTTTTTCAACTTAATTTTTGAAAATGTTCCGGAAATACTGCGTCCTTTAAACATATATCAAATCAAAGGTTATGTTATATACTATCAAATGAAAAAAAAAAATTTGTCCCGACATCTTATCTTTTATGTGCAAATGGCTGTCGAAAATTAAAAAAAAATGTAATGTTTGCGATAAAAATTACCTTTTAAAATGACAACTTTTTCAACTTAACTTTTGTAAGTGTTCCGGAAGGTCTGACATTTTTATATATATCTTAAATTAAAGCTAATGTAATGTACTTTATTATGGAAAAAAAAAATCTAGACTTGTCTTCGTGGTGAAAATAGACATCAAAGTTAATAAAAAATTACGATTTTTGTAAAATAATTCTTTTTTATATTTTTACCTATCATCTGGCATATATTTTTTATAAATCTAACCCTTTACCTGCCTACAGGGGGGATTCAAAATGACAACTTTTTCACAATAATTTACTTTTTCAACTTAACTTTTGAAAGTGTTCCGGAAAGTCTGATACTTTTATATATATATCTTAAATTAAAGCTAATGTAATGTATTTTATTAAGGAAAAAAAACTTTCGGACTTATTTTGTCTTTACGGTGAAAATGGCTACCAAATGCTATTTTGGTGTGAAAATTCACGATTTTATTTTTAACTTTAAAATGCTTTAACTTATTGAAAAGTGTATGGATCAACACAATTTTTTTATGAGAAATAATATTTATATCCCTTTTTCATTTGACATACTTTATCTTAATCAGGATGTAAGTAAGGAAATAGCAGGTCATGTAGCTTTTGGAATTATCCACCAATTTTTTAAAATTAAACACTATCTAAAGATTTGCATCGAAGCGTTTTTTTTTGATAGTGATTTTAATCACTGTCAGATATCATTATACTTGATCCAACTATGCCACGTCACCACTGTGCCGCGACTTCCCTGTGCTGGATTTTTTTAACTTGTATTTTTAGTAGCAATTTTAAATCATTTGTTTTAATATCTCTAATTTAGTTGAAAATTCCAAAGATTAGTAAATTTCATCTATAAAAATGATTACTTTACTACTATTCCTAGATAGTTAGACGATTATTATAATATTGAATTTATTGATTTACTTACTTATAAACTTAATTGTTTTTTTTTAATTATAGTAGTATTTTTAATTATATTTTTAATATAAAAATTATTATTTAATCGATTACAAAATTTATTTTTATATAAATGGTTTTTAAGTAATACATTATTTATGTTATAGTTGTGATATAACAAATTATAAATATTATTATAAGTCTACATTTATAAATTTTAATTGTTTCTTTTCTTTTTCCCATTTGTATTATTTAAAACTTTTAAATAAACTCTATATACTTTATTTTGTATCAATCAATTTTTCTTACAGGCTGTTAATTTTATACTAAGTTATCCAGAAAAACTAAGTTATCCTCAGTTATTGCAAGCTTTATTGGATATTACTTCTACTATAAATTTATGTACAAAACTACAAAATGTGTGGAGGGAAAATGATAGTTCAATTGAATATCATTTTAATTCATTTAATTTATGTAGTATTGAGTATTGCTTTACTATTGCATTGAAGTATGTTGTTAAATATTTTTAGGAATTTTAATTTACATATTTTATTAGTCCAAAATATGATAGTTTTTTTCATTTTTTTTTAGATTACTTTTGTCGTTGCCAGTACCTACCCACAAATTAAATGAAATGTTAGATGACAAATCTTCAGGTTTTGATCCACCTAATTTACTATATTTATTAATGTGGGGTCCTAAATGTGGCTCAAGAGTGTATGGTAGTTGGTTAAAGGTAATTTATTTGTTAAATGTTGTATTTTTAAGTTTAATTGTTTTCATAATAAGTATTTTTTGATAAAATTATTTTCAGGAAAACATTTCCAAACAGAGTAGCTTGTTAGATAATACTTCTAAAGATATAAATGCATCTAGTACAAACACATTATTATCAAATTTAACTATTGCTACTTCAACAATTAAGTATGAATATCAAATAGCTAAAGCTCATTTTACTCAACAACTTCATCAAACAGGTGCGAATATGCTTTTTTAATTTTAAAGTTTGTAATTTGTATGTATTATCAACTGTAAAGTGTTTTTACATATTATGTGAAAACACCTTAGAGTGACTGTATGATAGATCAACGACCATGGAAGTATTCATATTTTTCAAATTAAATAAATATAAATAAATATGGAAATTATTCTATATTAATGTTATGTTTAATTTTTTCAAAACTTTTTCAACTTTTTTTCCATAAAAAAATTGCAGTTGTGACATTCTTAGCGTTGATTATTTAGGTGGCCGGAATATAGAATGCCAGCATTGTGTTATTAGTTGCTTAAATATTGTACATTAAATATTATTTCAGTTCAATTTTAAATGAGGATTTCTGTAATAATCTAAAGATTTTCATTTATGAAAATTTTCAGGAAAAATAAAAACAATTTATTTTACAATTAAATATAGCACAAATGAACTTGTCTTTTCTGCTATACCTCAATGACCAATTACTGAAAGTATCTGTTAGTTGTACCTTAATGTATAGTAGTGTATATATATAATATTTTATTTAAAAGTAAATTTTCAAAAAAAATAGAGTTGTCAAATTATTGTAGTATCCATCTCAATTGAGATAGTTAAAAATAACCTTATTTTTTGGTAGGGTCAGTTAATATATATTTCTAAATATAGGATTAATAAACACAAGTAATAATGCTTTTGAGCATTAGATTTTTTCACCAACTCTGATTTTAGCTATAGCTCCAATATCACTGTTAAATTATGAAAACAGATATGATGTAATTTTTTAAAAATATGTGTTATTTGAAAATCATTTCTTAATGTATTAAAGAATTTTAGATCTTATTTAACATCTCTACTGTGGCATGGATTGAATTTTGCAACCCCCTTGTACTGAACTTCTTTTTATGGTTTGAAAGGTTTCTTTTACTCTATTGTACATATATCAAAACTTACTTTTACCAATATTCTGTATTTTAACAAAAAAACGACTGTTGACTCGTAGTTGAAATCAGCATCAGAGAACAGTTTTCTTCTTAGTTGCAATTATCAACTACGCGTCAATAATTTTTGAATTATTTCAAAAATAATTTCTGAGTCTACACGCCATTATGACAAGTTGTTGACGTCCGCTGAAGAGAACAAATATGTTTTGTCAATGATATGTTGGCGTTAGCACTCAACGTCTTAATAAACTATTTAATTTATAAATAATATTAAGAGTAATTAAAGTTGTGTATTTTTCTATTTATTTTTTTGACAAAGTTGATATTTTTAATTAGCTACCATTTTTTTTTAAACATTATGAGGATCAACTGAAAGGTCATGTACATTGTTCATAACAGATGAACAATATATTATTTGAATGCGTGCCTATGCTTTTTCAACAGTCACAATCTTCCCCTTAATATGCTTAAAGTTTTGTAACAATCGAGTATGTGTACAATGGTCCAACAGGTCTGAGTGCATGGGCATTATGTCCACCTCGATAATAACTAAAAACAATCGAGTAAATGGTTGCGTGTTTATACGTGTTAAAATGACAATCTAAACACCTGATACGTGTTCATGCTTGAAGCAACGTGCAGTGATTGAATTTTTGACAGCAGATAACATTAGACCTACGGAAATTTATTAGTATTTAGAGACTATTTAAGAATCTGAAACGATTAACAGAAGTATTTTGAAAGGTAGGCCATAAAATTCAGGAATTCTGATTTCCTATTAGAATATTTCTTGATTACCTATTTCCCTAATTAAAGAAGGGAAACAGTTATGCCAACATTAAAGAGGTGTAGGTCGTTGTAAGTAGTTAGATTAAAAATCGGAAAATATAATGAAGAATAAATTCAAAAAGTGAGTTAACCGTTAGGAGCACTATGTGGAGCTAGATGTTGATTACATGTAAAAATAAACACATCTTTTATAGCTAAAGAATTTATTTTTTATTTTGTAAATATTTCTTTTTATTCTCTAATTATAAGCAAGTATATATACATTAATTTTCAGCTATTCCTCGTACAATCAATAAGATGATCAGTAAAAAAAATGTTTTGTTGGAAAGCTTAAAATATTATTATTTGATCATTAGTTATTTTATTTATATATTTTATTTCTCAAATATCTTGATATACAAAAAATTGTTTTTTCTTTTAACTAAAGATATAAAAGTGTGAGTTTATCCCTTTAATTTGGTCCTAGTTAATTTAAGATTTTGCTATTCATTTGAATGGTTAGGTAGGCTTAATATTGTTTTGTATAATTTAAATACCTATATTTTTTGTATAAATTGTAGGTAATACAAAAACAGTCGAGAGTCCAATGTTGTTAGATATAATTTTGTATGATGCAGTTGTTTCAAAAATATATTTACTTATCAAACAAGGAAGAACTGATGATATCGACAAGTAAAAGATATATTTTTATTTTTAGAAAGATAGGTGTTTAATTTAATTTTTTTTTTTAATTTAAATAATTTCGATCTTATTTAATTTGATAAAATATTTACTAAAATTAAAATATTAGATATTTATCCATTTTTTTTATTGTATAGAAAGTGAAATTAAATATTAACATAGTACTCAATTTTACTTTAACAAATATCTTTATTTTATAACCAGATATTTCAAGGCTACAACAATATTTTTTAATTGTTGACAGACAAAAAATAAATTCTACTTTTTATATTTTCTTATATTGCTATTAAAGAAAAATAAGTTGACATCCTTATAAGCTAGATGGTATAAACAAAAAATATAATTAATAACTAATAAATCAACAAATATATGAAACTAAAAACTACCAAAAATAATTTTCTTAAAATAATAATTAATTTAAGAGAAATTGAGAGGCTATCGTTATAAAAAGTATAAGTTATTATATACAGTGGGGTACATCAAACAGTGCAGTTTTGAAAGGTTAGTACTTCCCGTGTGGTGGGGATAGTGTGATTGTAATGGTTTCATTTCGTAGAGCAGGCCATGCCGTTATTAGTCATTACTCCATGGTTTGGTTTGGTGAACAACAGGTACGTACATTTGAAGAAACTGGTTCTACACAAAAACCTAGAGGTTCAGGAAGACCTAAAACAGCAAGAACACCTGAAAATTTGATGAGAATGAAAGAAGCAGTTGTGCAGTTACCTACACGTTCTGCCCGGAAGCATTCAATTGCATTCAGTTGCCGACCACTCATTAAGAAGGATTTTGCATCAAGACTTATTCTTCCACTCCTACAAGATTATGATTGTCCAAGAGTTGAGTCCACTTGACAATGAAAATTGCATGAATTGCTCACAAGAAATGTTGAACTAGATCCATGTGAGATCAACATTTTTCAGTAATGACGAGGATCAATTTCATCTCAGTGGAGCAGTAAATAAACAAAATGTTCACTATTGAGCTGAAAATAATTCAAAGAAAATCCATGAGAGACCTCTTCACGCCCCAAAAGTGGCCTTATTTTTTTGAGTAGAATGGACAAATTGTAACTGTCAATGCTCAACGTTATGTTTCTATGTAGGAACATTTTTTTGAACCTCAATTAAAATAGGTAATGGGGAAACAGATTTGGGGAACATTTGGTTCCAGCAAGACGGGGCTACGACACAAAACTGCGACAGATGTTATGTACGCACCTCATCTTTCTGAGGGGTAATATGGTGTAGACTAGATTTGAGCATTTGTGATTTTTTCTTCCTTTCAGGTAGCCCCACCTGAAAGGAAAGGTTTTTTAAAAATCAACCTCGCACCTTGAAAGAACTCGTAGAGCAAATTCTGGAGGAAATTGGCGCTATATCAGTCAAAATGTGTTAAAATGCAGCCGAAAACTTCAGAAATTGCCTTCATCAATATATCGCTGTTGGTGGTCATCATTTTTCTAATGTCATTTGAAAGTTAATACATAAAACAGCATGATATATTGAAAAAATTTAATTAACTTCATTTCTATAAGTTGTGTCTTTTTTTAAAAAGAGACTTTCAAAACTGCACTGCTTGTTTTACCGCACCCCCTGTACTTTCAATAGTTAAACAGTTTTTATTTCTAAAAACAAAAGTCAGATATATGTATGTTTATATAATATTACCTAAAATATTCAATTTGTATAAATTACTATATTATTTAGAACTTCAAACAATGAGTTTATTCAAATATTAATGCCATATTGTGTGGAATTGGCCACTTTAACATTTTCAAGTATAAAGTATGTATTAATATAAAATCTAACACTGTTTATAAAATTTAATAATTTATTGTGGATATTGTAGAAAAAATTTACTTCAACAAATTATAAATTTAAATCATGCTCAAACATTTTCATCTGGTGACATAACTAATTTAGAGATAATTTTATCAATGACTAGCAATCAGTCTTCTCTTGAATTTTCTCCAATAACTTACAATTTGCCATTTTTGTTGTTTGATATTATTCCTTCTTGGATTATTTCTGTTATAACTAAATGGAATATTGTTTCAATTGGTACAAATTTAAAGGTGAGTTGTTTTAGTTTAGTTTGGATTGTTTAGATTTAATTCCTAGTAATATAAATTAAAATTAACTCATAAATAAGATTTACAATAACAGTTTTCTTCCACTTAAATTTTATTTTTGTTTTATTAAAACCAAAGTATGAGAGTTAAATATATACCTTATTAAGTAGTAATTAAATATATATGTACAATTTTGGACTCGACATTAATTTCTAATATTAATTGTATTTATATAATTAAAAAAAAAAAAACAATAAAAAGAAGGCCTTTGAAAATATTAATATTTTTTTGAGAGAGAATATTGTTTTCATACCAACAGAAAATTTTAAATTAAAATGTTTCATTAAATATTATAGAACCATAACAAAAATTAATGATAATTAATGATGACAATATATTATCTGTAATGATTAATGATGATTTTTTTTTTGGTATTTAAACAGCCTAATAGATTAATTTACTAATTGAGATGATTTTTAACATATAATTGGTAATTTAATCCCAGAAATATTACTGCTTTTAAGATTTTTTTTCTGAAAATAACATATGTTCATTCAATGGGATAAAATTTATAGTTGCTCTATAAATTTTTCAATGTTTCATGTTATAATATATTATTTAAAACGTTTTATTACATAATATAAAGTTTCAGAGTTCTTAAAATCAGAGCTACCTACTCAATCTAAAAACATCTAAAAAAATTTTTATATGACAAATTAGGCTAGAATGCTATTTTCAATGAAAATTACAACAAATATTACTAAACCTTATTTGAAGTTAACAGGATTAATTGAAAAATCAATTAATATATTCTAGAAATGAAATAATATATGGTTATTAGTTTAGTTACTGAACACTCAAATGCCGTTGGTATTATTTTAAATATTATTTCCCAAGTTGATCTATGACAGTTATGTGCTAGATATATTTATTACAAATTTTAAATAATAATTATCTAAGTTACATTTAGTAATGTAAAATTACCATAATAATCATTGAGAATATTTATTTTAATTTTTTTTTGTTATATTTTACATCATTGTAAAATGTAACTATCAAGAATAAAATTGGTTACTTTTAAATTTTTTTAATTAGCTTCAGATAATTCAATATTATGAAGTTAAGGTATACTTCTTCTTTTTTTATTTCCTCGCATTGATCCCAACTACTTGGGGTCGGCTACCCTTATCCCAAACTTCCACTTGACACGATCTCCCACATCATCTACGCTCACATCAGTTGTCCTCAATCACATTCAATAGCATCCCTCCATCTTTATTTTGGTCTTACTCTACCTCATCTTCCTTCAACATTCATTTCTATAACTGTTCTAATAGCTCTCCTCATAACATGACCAGACCATCTAAGTGTATTTTCTCTCATTTTAAACTACGATTGACGTTACGCCTATACTTCCTCTTATATGTTCGTTCCTTATCCTATCTTCTCTAGTCAACCCATTCATCAATCTATGCATTCTCATATATGCTACACTCATTCTCTACTCTACTTTCTTGTCAACTACCCAACACTCTGAACTATAAATCATAGCTGATCTTTTTACAGTCTTATAGAATTTACCTTTCAGCCTCATTGGAATTCTTGTATTGTATAACACACCAAATGCTTCTATTAACTTTTAATATTATGGGACAAAAATAAAAAAATTGTAATGCAAGATGAAATTTTAGTAGACTTTTTTAAAAATAGAATTATAATACATTTATATTGAAGTTTTAATTCACATATAATTTTAAGCTAATTAATGAATTAATAAAAGGAATTGATAATATATATTTAATATTAAAAAAAAAAATCAGTAGTTCTTCAATAATATACATATCTATTGTATGGTCCTGAATTTTTGTGACACCTTCCCTCATATTTCAAAATAGACAATTTTGTCAATTTGTAATAAATGAATAATTTAAAACTGATTTAGTCATTTTAATAGTCTAAGAGCAGTTAAAATATTGTTCTTTTTAAAGACTATCTTGGCTATTTGAATTGAATTTTAAATCACAACGTTTATTTTTGTCTTTATATCATTATAGTATTATATTGATTTAAAGGATAAAACTAATAGTTTTATAATTATATATTAAAATTGAATCACTCATTTTCAAAAAGATGTGTCCAAAAAGTTTTTTGTATTTTTAACTTTTTGGAGGAATTAAATAACAACTGGGTAACTCTATTCAAATTTTATATAAGAAATTTATCATTTAAGTTTAAACTGGAGCTTGAAATTATATTTATAATTTATTTTTTAGTTATTTTAAAGAGAAGCAAAATTTTTGCAATTTTTTTGTTAGTATTTATTGAAATAAAAATATATTTTTTGTTTTGAAGAGAATAAACTTGTCAAACCCTCTATTATAACTTATTAGTTAGTTTTCAAATAAATTAATACAAATTTTTTTTGACTGATGATTTATTCAGAATAATTTAACAATTTTATATTTGTATACAATTCTTTGCTTTATCCATGACGCTTGATTTTTTATACAAGCTTTAGAAATTGGGTTGTGTACTAATATCTAAAAAATTTAATTAATGATTATATTTTGCTTAGTGTACTTATTATATTACTGTTAAAAAAAATTAGTGAACATTTTTTTTACTATTAATATTTGTTTTAGACTTCAAATTTTGATACTCTAGCAGAAAATTTGATCTTAAATATTATTAGACATCACGCATCATTTGTTTCTAGTCAACCAATATATTTTAATACTCAATCATTGAAGAGATTACTCTATACACTTATTATATTTATCACAGAAAACATTCAGTAAATATTTTTTAGTCATAATTTTTATACTTAATATTATTACTAATAATGTATAAGCACATCTATTTTAGTGATAATTTATATTTTATTTTAAAATAGGTATATAAATCTCAATTATATCCATCAATAGTTTCTATAAAAATTGATTATTTTTAATTTTAGATTGTGTACTGATTGTAAATTGAAATCAGATTTTGCTAATCTACTGAGTTCAATGACAATCGATTGGTCATCAGAGTATTTGTTGGAAAGTATTATTCCTACTTTAGAAAAATTAAATAACTCATGTGATCATGATTCTGCTACTATGATAGCTATAAAAATCACAAAGAATATAAGAAAACTGGCTATTCAATACAAATGTGATGATACATCTAACACGTAAGAATTTCATATGTAGTGTATTAAATCAATTTTTTTTTTTAAGATTTCAATTCTTGATTATTGAAAAAATAAGTTTTTTATTTAATAAGTTCTAAAGGTAGGTTTTTACTAAGTGGTATATAAAAAAAGTTTTCTGACTTTAAAAATTAGTATGAAAATTTTTTTTTACTTATATGAGAAAAAAGTTACCTTTGCTAAATATATATCCCATTCTCTTACACATAACTATTTAAGGATGAACATTTTGAAAAATACAGTTGACCCTGAAATCTTAGCAATATTAATTAATTGTATTATTAATTATAATTTGATATTTTTAAATAATGCGTCTTGTCTCAGTGTTTAGATTGGGATTTGATTTTTTTGATTTGGCTTAAAAAAATTTTCCTGTTTTCTTTTGCACAGCCAGAAACTTTTAAGAGAGAACATAAAATAGAAATATAAAATATTATATAATTATTAAAAAAAAATATGATAAAAATTGAATCCTTCATGATAAAAGAACCTATTATATTTTTTGAACAGTGTCAATTAATTTTAATAATAAAATTTTAGGGATTATTTAGTTGAAAANAAAAAAAAAAAAAAAAAAAAAAAAAAAAAAAAAAAAAAAAAAAACACATCATAGTAAAACCAATACCTTCTCAGCTTCGCATCGAAGCTAAAAAGTTTTCTGACTTTAAAAATTAGTATGAAAATTTTTTTTTACTTATATGAGAAAAAAGTTACCTTTGCTAAATATACATCCCATTCTCTTACACATAACTATTTAAGGATGAACATTTTGAAAAATACAGTTGACCCTGAAATCTTAGCAATATTAATTAATTGTATTATTAATTATAATTTGATATTTTTAAATAATGCGTCTTGTCTCAGTGTTTAGATTGGGATTTGATTTTTTTGATTTGGCTTAAAAAAATTTTCCTGTTTTCTTTTGCACAGCCAGAAACTTTTAAGAGAGAACATAAAATAGAAATATAAAATATTATATAATTATTAAAAAAAAATATGATAAAAATTGAATCCTTCATGATAAAAGAACCTATTATATTTTTTGAACAGTGTCAATTAATTTTAATAATAAAATTTTAGGGATTATTTAGTTGAAAAAACCTTGATACACGGTTTATTTTGGATTGAACAGTTGATTTTTGATTTTTCTTCAGCTCGTTATGCTGTATTAAGGACATTTTGTGCTAATGCTCACAAAGGAGATATTTTAATGAAAAAATTTATATCCTCAGGAATTTTTGTTCGAGCTTTTGTTCGATTGGCTAATCGTTTATTTTCAAATTGTAAGTAACTGTTAAATACTTTTAAACAATTTTTGTATTATTTTAAGTTATGAATGAAATATTAGAAATAATTATCTGTAAGATTTAAAGAATTAAAAAAAATTTGTTAACTTTCATTAATTTACACTTATTCTAGACAATAGTCTGATTTTATTTAATTTTTTTCATTGTTGTTCTAGTAAAAACAAATAACCATAAAGATATTAATATCATGTGTCGCACAATAATTCAATTATCAACTGATTCAAAAAATAGACTAGATTTATGGTTACAACGGATTATTGTTGGATGGAGTAAAGATAAAGATTTGATTGATGCTGTCAATATTTTGACTAGTGAACTTAATGTTTTTTTAAATGAAAAACATTCAAATGCAATCAAACATTTTACCAATAATATATCTTCTTCAGTTGATCCAGATGAAAATTTTGATCTAATAAAAAATATTATTGATTTTATCATTACTTTAGATACGTATGTATAGTATATTAGTTATAGGTATTAAATTAGTCAAATATAATATTTGACTTATTTTTAGAAATGATGATTTGAAAGCAAAAGCTTCATTATGTTATTTGGATACATTAATACCAATTGTGACTTACACATTAGCATTTGAAAATGGTGCAGGATTTTCAAAAATATTTGCACAAATGGTACGATTAGCTGACTGTGGAGGTTCTGTTGGTCATATAAAACTATTTAAGGCCAGCATTAAATTATTGGAGACCATAAAAAATTGGCTCAAAAATAATATGATGCCTATAAGTGATTATGATCAAGTTTATCCTCCTATTGTAATTGCTTCAAGTTGTGTCATGAACTACTTATCTGATGTAATAGCTGCTATGCACATTGATATAGAAAATAAAGCATATCCTCCACCTCTAGATACCATGTCTTTACATTACTATGATGGTATGGAGTTAGATGGATTTTTGCCATGTAATGAAAAGGACAGTGATACATTAATTGAAGAATCGGTAAATAATTTTTTAACTAATAAAATGTGTTTTTATTGTATATAATATTTTTTAAATAAATTAAATTTTTTAATAGAAATTATTTTAACATAAATTTTATAGTTTTTTTTATGGTAATGTATGATAAACAATAATTGTAAACTTATCATTCATAAAACCAAATAAGTTTATAGCAAAATATTTTACCTTTTAAATTATTAAGCTGCTGTGGTTTTGAATTTTATATCTTTTTAATATAGTAATACATTAATCACCTTTTGATCAATCTTTAAGTTTTTATAATTCAACATTTTTTACTAATAAATATTAAGTGATAAATAATTTTTTGATTTATATTTTTTAGGATGAAGATAGTTTATATTATAGACTGTGTACATTTACTGTTACTCAAAAAGAATTTATGAATCAACATTGGTATCATTGTCACACTTGTAAAATGATCGAAGGAGTTGGAGTTTGTAGTATTTGTGCCAAAGTTTGTCATCGAGGACATGATGTCACTTATGCAAAATTTGGCAACTTTTTTTGTGATTGTGGTGCTAAAGAAAATAATTTTTGTCAGGTAAAATTACAAATAATTTCAGAACTGTATACTGAATAAAAACTTAACTTTCTTTTATATAGTGATTGTTAGTATAAGTAGAAACTAAAATATTCAGAAAAGATAAAAATTAAATACTTTTTATTAAGTTGTTAAAGTGATAAGATATCAATTATATATTAATTTAATTGAAGTTGTATTTAAAAATTATTTTTGGGGTAGATCCATTATACATTTTTAATTATGTTACATTTTATAAATTAACTTCAATTTTGTTTATTAAAACATTAAAGAAAAAAAAAAATTATCCTTTTAGAAAATAAAAATTTAAAAAGTGTGTTTGTGTGTATTTATAATTTTGGTTAGTAATTATGTGTTATTTTTGATTGGGGGATTAAACAATAAGAAACAGTATTTTAATAAAATTAGTAATGACTACAAACAGTAAGTGTACTTATTATGGAACTATAGGTAGCTTGCACTTTTAGACTGCAAATTTTTGCACCATATTATTGATGGTAGATGTTTATAAAATATATCATTAATTTTTTCATAGATAATAATATATAGAATACTACTCTTAATTGTTGTAAATGTGATAAACTGATAAAGAATTCTTTCATTTAACCATTTATGTTATTTTATAATATTTACATTATATTATATTTTTATATCAAAGTGGTATGGTGTAGTGCAGTGTATACACTAGTTGCTAGTGTTGAACATTGCCAATTGCTACCGGCCCTCAGATAGGTGATCATACAACAATTTTTTCAGTGTCAAAAAACATTATGTCCTTAGTGCATTAGGCAATAGAAAATCACCACAAATAACTCTTTTTCTAGTACACGTCAATTCAACTTAAGTTGATTTTAGTTATCAAAATTAGAAAAAAAAATTTTTCTATTATAATTTCAAAAATATGTTAATAGTGTAACTATAATTTTTAATTAACAGGCCTTAACTAAAAGAAACCCAAATTCATTGCCTGATAATAATATTACAAAAGAAAAATTTAACGTAGAAAATGGTAATTCAACAATAGATCATGATCGAATAGATACAGTTAGTTCAACTTTAACTAGTATTAATCAGGATCCAAGAAATATAAGTACAAGAAGTCTTGATTATGAGTCAATAATGCTTAATACCCTGAATAGTAAGTTTTAATGTTTTATATATATTATTATTATTATTTTATTAAGATAAGCTTCAGCTACATATCATTAGCTTACATTATAACTACATTTGATTATTTACAAGTTTTCAACATTATAATTTGTGATTAACTTTAATGAATGGATTGTTCTGAATTGAATAAAAGGCACTCCATAACATTGAATTTGATTCATAAGTGCTTTCTGCAGTTTTTGACGAAGGAATGCCTATTTCTTGATCTAGTGAGGGTAGTTGTATCTTTTTGCATAGTATTTATTGTTGAAGTTCATTTGTTAATATTCATTTTAATTTTTATTAGTTTATTTGACGTTGGAGTTGGTTCATTTGGTTGGTCACCTTAAATCCCATTTGGTTTGACATGTTTGTTGTATTGTGTGGTTAATTTTTTTTATTAGTTCATATGATGTGGTTTTTGAGAAATAAGTTGAACATGGTAGACGTATGGCTTGTCTAGCAACTCTGTGGGTTTCTTCTTGAATAGTTCGTTTTTGTAGTTGCTGTCTTTAGGTGAACAGAAATCTTTGAAAGATAGATTTTAACATCATTAAAAATTAAATTGGTAAAAAAAATATTGTGTTTTAGAAAAAAAGATGATATCTTGTGTTTTAATTGGTGAGAAATTACAATCAGAGGTATGACCATTTTGAAAGAGAGTTGAGTGATTGAAGGAGTTCATTAGTGGTATTTATGTTAATACTACAGCAGTAAATGCTAGTCATCAGCAAAAAGGGTATATTAACAAATTTAGCTATAGATTTTCCAATATGATAAATCGCAACTAGAAATAGTATTATGGTCATGGAGGAGTCTTAAGGGAGTCCATTTTTATTTGAAAGGTAACCAGAGTATTTTCTATCTATACCAAAAAGGTATGATGTAAAAGAAATTTTGTGTAAAGTAGATCATGTGATTTTCCATTTTTGGAGTGTATTCAACTCTTTCTTTCCATATAATGTCATATTATTTATGTATATCCAATGATATTAATGCTAAGTGTTAGTTCTTTTTACTGGCTGTACATATGTCAGTGTGAAGAGATGTTAAAATATCATAAGTTTTTAATAGTCATCTAAAATAAAATTAAAAATGAAGGTTATATAAATATTTAATCACAATATTAAAGTATTGTATAATGAGAAAAGATATTGATGATTGTTGAGTACTTGTATAACATTTTTTGATGGTAAAGGTCGTACATCTGGAGAGAAAATTTGAAAGATAAAATCGACCAGTTTAGTCATACACATTTGTATTTCCTGGTCAGTGAGGGTAAGCTTTTACAGTTTCTTTTAAAAATTAATATATTTTATCAGGGAGTAGAAGAGTTTGATATTGAACATATTTTAGCTATGATGCGATGCTGAGGAAGTATTGGATTTACTATGATGTATTTTTTTTTTTTGTGTCTGTTATCACCTTTTCTCAGCTCTCAGTAAGGAAATAGTAGATCATGTAGCTTTTGGAATAATCCACCAATTTTTTTAAATTAAACACTATCTAAAGATTTGCATCGAAGTGTTTTTTTTTATAGTGATTTTAATCACTGTCAGATATCATTATACTTGATCCAACTATGCCACGCCATACTGTGCCGCGACCCCCCTGTGCTAGGTTTTTTTTAGCTGTGGTTTTAAGGTATTATTATTTTGAGTATGTTTAGTTGTTTGAGTATTTTCTGAATTGAAGATAATAATCTGCAGAAAGGGAGCTGTAATTCAATCTGTTTCATTCAATCAATGGTATTGAATACAACTGTTTCATTCTTTTTAGAAAAGTATGAAATGGATGTTATTTCAACAAAATTTTTTGTTTTATTTTTTTCATTTGAGTGGGTAGATATGTCAGTATGTATTTAGTGTTTATGATGGTAACATTATTCCCAAAATATGTATTCATAATTTTATAGTTATTTTAGTAACTTTTTGAGTTACATAAATTTTATATTTTTTAATTTTAAATATTATTATTCTACATAAACCGTATACCCTTGATGTATTGATGGTCTTTAATCAAATTTTACAAAAATGATTATTTTTATCTTATTAAATGTATAAATATCTGACCTGCCAAGTGTTGAGACCTTTAGATATAGGAGAGGTTAATAGTTTTCTAATTCTTATACTTGTTAAGTTTTATTTTTTAATTTATTTTATTTGTTAATAAAATTAATGATTGACTTGTTTATTTTTGGTTTCATGAAAAGTAAAAATTATGGTATAATTAATAGTCCTTCTTCCACCTAAAGTTCTAATCCACCTTAAATTTAGTTATTGTTAATACAAATCAATTCTTTGATGCCTGGTACTTCTGTATTATTTACTACTAAACAAATGGTCTGTTTTAATTTTTAAAATACTATCAGCTGTACTTAAAATTTGTCAGTTTAGTGTACTCAAATATACTATATTTTTAGGTATTAAATATATATTTTTTTGGTATATTTTAAGAGAGATTGTAATTACATATTTACAAAGATAAGAAACCTTAGTTTAGAAAAACTTCCAATTCCTAATTTTTATCCTTTTTTAACTATAGTATAGTATACTATAATGTAGCTAGTAAAAAGTGAGTTTTTTTTCTAATGTAGTTTAGTAGTAAATACTTTAAAAAAAGATTGAATAATTAAATTAAATAAACTAAATTTTATTAACCACTGTTTTTAGTGTATGATTTAAATACTCACTCAGAGTGCTACAACTATAGCTTACTTTTAATTGTACTATAAAAATTGATTGCCTTCGAGAGAAAAAATGAAATAAAATCTTGGCTTCACACTTGTATGACTATCATTGGTCTACTTGCATCAATTAAATTATTATTAATTGTTTGACGTAATAAATTTAAAGTTGATTGTTAAATATTGAAATTTTATTTTCAGCCACATGTAGTAATACATTAATACCAATTATTTTTGATCAAACTCAAATTGTTGAACCAACATTAGATTTATGTACTCAATTGATGAGCATTATTATTAAATCCGCAGAAAAAAATTCTGCTATTGGATGCAATACTAGAGCTATCAAAACTCTGAATGAGTTAAAAAATTTAGAAAAAACAATTGAAGTTTCAGATAATTTAATGGTGATAACTTTTTTAAATTAAGTTAAATAATGGTTTTATTAATTATTTTAATGATTAATTTTAGCTTCCTACTATGGGATCTCAAGAGGGTGCTTTTGAAAACGTTAAAATGAATTTTAGTGGTGATCAAGGTCAAACTATACGTCAATTGTTATCTGCTCATATGATTCGTCGTGTAGCAATGTGTTGCTTATCATCTTTACATGGTAAAAGACAGCATTTAGGTAATTTTAATTTATTTAATAATTTTTACATTTAATAAAAGTTGTTTATAAATAAAAGTATATTGATTAATTAAAATTTGATATATTTTTTAATAATACCTCAGTTAATAAAAAATGAATAAATGAGCTACTTAATGAGCTTTACATAAGATTAGTAATTAATTGATATTAATTATATTTGAATGATCAATTCAAAAAATACGGGTATTTAATTAATTTATTCTTTTAATTATAAATTAAAATTAAAAATACAAAAAAAAAAAAATATATACAAAAGATTAATTCTGAAAGAATCAAAATGATGTCTGACTTCGACTTTCAAGTTGAATGACAAGAAATGTTAAATAATATCTTGTTTATGGATTTTTTTTAAATTAAATATAAATTTGTGTTGATATCACAGTATGCCATAACAGTCTAAAAATATTGTTTACCGAGAAATCCATTATAAAAAGAAAATCAACCAAGTACCACTAAGTAGCTAAAGAAGTTAACGATGCCGAGGACGGCGTTGGCTATCAAACAGATAAGATAACAAAGACAAAACCCTACAAACAAGGAAGGCATTTGAATTATTTTCCTTATTAGATCTATCAAAAACCGATAAAAATATCCTGGGTAGGCTGCGTCATAAAGAAAATATTTTAATGTACAAAAACAGAAAAAACAAGAAACAAGCATTTGTTTTTTATTAAATCATCGAAAAAAGCAGAAAAAACTGAAAATAAGCGTTTTTTGAAAAAATCATCAAAAATAGCAATAAAAGCATTTTCTAGCAAATGCTATAAGTCCCGAGCCCTGATAATAACAAAATAATAAAAATTGAAAATGGCAATATTAAATAATTTGATATTTACATACTTGTAAATATTTGTATAAAATTTAATGAAATAAAAATTAATGTTAAATCTAGGCTAATATTATTAAAAAAATTCAAAATATGTATAAAATGTATTTAAAAAAATATGTTCTTTTAAATAAGAACTAGAAAATGTCAATAACCTATTATAAAAATTAATTTTACTATACTTATAAACAAAAATTTAGTATTTTTCACCTAAAAAATGTTATTTCTTGATTTTGCATAAGATACTTTTAATATACATCTATCAAAAGTGATTATGTTGGCTTAAAACAACCTGATATAGACAAGAGTCTATTAAAATGTGTTTTGAATTGTTCGAAAACTAATTATGTTACATAAAAACTAATTACTCCATTGTCTTCAACATATAAATATAAAGATATAATTTTTCCAAAATTTCTGAATTTTCTTATATTTTTTTATTTTAATTGTTTTCTTATAAAAAATTATTTAATCTTTAAGTCCTTATGGCACATGTTAAACTTTTCATACCTGTCTAGAATTTTGCAAAGTTCATTTGTATACAATGTTTAAACAAAAAAGTATATTTATTAAAACAAATTATTTTTATATTATATTCATCAATAGTGGATCCTAATGAATGTGTAATATTTATTCGTTTAGTTTACTTTTTGAAGTGCCTTTGTAGGTCATAATTGGAAAATCATCATACAGACTTTATTTGTTGTATTTTGTTGTTTTAACTACTTATCAAAAACTTTGGCTCTAAAATGTTATATATATATATATTTAATTTATGAATACCAAAAAATTATATAGTATTATTTATTTTTGTATTGAATATTTCATAGTTGCTGTTTCTCATGATAAAGGAAAAATTGCAATCTTACAAATGAGTTCATTATTAAAGCAATCCGATGTATCTAAACGTAAACTTACATTAACACGACTTTCATCAGTTTCTATTCCTTTCACTGTATTATCTGTGACAGCTAATCCAGTGAATGAAGACTTTTTGTCAGTTTGTGGTTTGAAGGTATTTAATTAATTATTTAAAGGATGATAAATTGATTTTCAATTTTCATTTTATTTTTACAGGATTGTCATGTATTAACTTTCAACACAAGTGGCACAGTTAATGAACACATTGTTCTTCATCCAACTCTGGAAGTAGGTAATTTCATTATTCGATCTATATGGCTTCCAGGATCACAGACTTGCTTAGCATTAGTATCAGCTGAATTTGTTAAAATTTATGACCTATCCAAAGATGTTTTAAGTCCTCAATATTATTTTCTTGTCCCTACTGGAAAAATACGAGATGTAACATTTATGTGTACTGAGGTAATGAAATAATTTTTTTTTTTGTATTAAAATATTCAATAGTAGGATTTTGTCATTACGTGTTTTGTATTGCTTTGAATCTTTTTCATTTCTAGGAAAGGTCTACTATGATATTAATATCTTCTGGAGGATATATATACACACAAGATATGGACTCCAGTAGTTCTGCAGTTCATGGTCCTTTTTATGTTACCAATACAATAGACATTGTTCATCCAGATATAAACGTTAGTGTAACATTTACTGTATCATCTAATATTTCATTATTAGTTACATTAGCAGTATAATGAACATGAGTACAACATGTAATTTTTTACCAAAGTTACAAATATGTTTTTTATTTAGAAATTATGAGTAGTAATCCCTGATATTTTTTAAAAATTCACAACTATAGTTTTAAATATTTAATGAATGAAAATAGTGAAAATACACATTTTCTAAATCTTTGATGAGCATTTAATAGGTTATTTCTTTATATAGAAGTTAATGTGGCGACTAGTGGTTAATAGCCGGTCATAGAAAGTGTACCGGAAAATTGTGAGAAAAATTGATCACATTGTGATCCAAGGTGTTGTAAAGATAAACTAGGCCACTATGATTCAGTTCGGATAAACTTTCATATAGGCTGATAGTGTGAATTAGTGAATAAATTATGTCTTTTGATTTATATATCAGAAAATCATATTAAGGTACTGCAGTATTATAGTTGTCCAATAAAAATATATGACAACTTTATATTAAAATAGTACCTGGAGATGGTGCAAGAAAATTACTGAGTAGTTATCAGTTAAATGAATTAATTACTATAAAACACTTAGAGATCTAATTTTTTTTTTACATATATATTGGAATGCAGTACTAGGAGAGGGCCAAGCAATTGGACATTATAGACTAAGAGAGAGAAACAATAGAGGAGAGTCAATAGGGAAGCGATAGCTGTGAAAAATCTGTGGTTGAAAGATCAATGCAATGAGGCAGAAAATCTATTAAATAGTTATATAACAGACCAAGTATTCAAATTGATGATAAAGTTTTTCAAAAACAAAACTAAAAGGAATGATAAAATCAGGGATGAGGATGGCAATTTAATCTTGGTTAATGAAGATAAAGTTAGAAGATGAAAATAGTACATTGAAAAGCTATACCAAAGAGATGATGGATTCACTGATGTCCAAAACAGTGCGAATATGGATGAGTAGGAAATAAGAAGGAATGACAAGTTGACAATATACCTATAAAACTCATCTAAAACTTAGGAGAAACAGTTAAAAAAAAAACTTTTTATACTTGTAAAAGAAATATATAAATCAGGAGACATCCCTATAAGGAGAATGTTGTAAAACCAATCTTAGGGTTGATTACAAAAAAAAGAAAAAATATATGTAATATATATTATAATATACTGGATGAGGTATTTTGAAAAATTAGTAAATAAGGAGTGTCCAAAAGAGACATTAGAGGATATATTGTGGAACGAGGGACTGATAGATTTAATTAGTAAGAAGAGGTATGGGAGGCTGTAGCATCAATAAACAAAAATAAAGCACTAGAATCAGATGAAGTGCTAGTAAAGGTATAGAAAATTTTTGGCGGTGTTAGCATAAAGTGGTTGAAGGATCTTTTTAATAAAATCTTATTAGAAGGTGGTTGAAGTGGAGAGAAGCGTCTGGTGTTTTATACAATTAAAGAATTCCAATGAGGCTGTAAGGTAAATTCTATAAGACTTTAGTGAGATCAGCTATGATGTATGGTTCAAAGTGTCGGGTGGTTGACAAGAAAGTAAAACAGAAAATGAGCGTAGAAGAGATGAGAATGCTTAGATGGATGAGTGGAATAACTAGAGAGATAAGATAAGGAACGAACATAAAAGAGGATGTATAAGTGTAGTGTCAATTATATATAAGATGAGAGAAAATAGACTTAAATGGTTATAGTTATAGAAATAAATGTTGAAGGAAGAAGAGTTAGATGATGACCAAAAAAAAAAGGGATATAATTGAATGCATATATTTAGAAATTATTTAATAATATTTTGTGATAAAATTTTTTTTAGGATGTTAATGGTCAAGTTTGTGGCGGTGGAGTATCAGTATATTATTCTCATATATTATCATTGTTAATGTTCAGCTATGTGACTCCTGGACGAACTTTTATTGCTCCATTAGATGATGAACGGTATCAAGGAGGTGTTATTACTTTACATCCTGTTTTTGCAATCAATTCACAATCACTTAGTCCTAATTCAAAAAATAAGAATATCAGTCAAACATCAACTACTGTTCCTCCTACTCAGCCTATGTGGCAATGGTCTGAAGTACCTGGACACCCTGGCCTAATTTATGCAATACTTCAATCGAGTAAGTTTTTAAAAATTATACAGTCTTAATTTAAAAGTTTAAAAATTGTTTTATAAAATTAAATTGTAGAGAATAGTTTCAATTTTATATTATATTTTATATTTTATATTTCTATAAATAAAAATAAGTTATCAAGAGATTTTTTTTATGTAATATAATTTAAAAAAAAAATCTCGAAAACATTTATATGCATATATTAGACTGTAAAAAAAAAAACTAAAATTCTTAAACAATATCAATACTTTGATAAATATCAAAATATTAAAAATGAAATGTAATAATTTTAATGTACAATAAAATATTAATTTTGGAACCAGATAAACATAGATGGAAATCGAATTTTAAATAAAATTTTATTTCAACATTTTTTAGTATTTATCATGGGAAATTATGTGACCTGATATAGGTAGCTCATAAGCTAGAAATATAAGTTTCTGCAACTTCTCAGCTCTAGTCATAACTTACCTAAGTACAGTACTTTGTATTATATTTTTCATAAAAAAGTACTTAACATTCCTAATATTTAATAAATTTTTATTAAACCCTAATCATTGTGTATATATGAGTGCAAGAGTATCATTTATCAAATTTATGATATTTGACATTCTGGTATAATACAATATAGTTTTAGCTTCGATGCATCACAAGACCAAAATTTTCTTAGTTTCACAACAAAATTAAAACAATAAATTTTTTTGAAAATTGATTATAATTGTAAAAATCCATTTTTAAATTCAAGTGAAACCCAAAATAATTCATTTTTAAAAATGATTTATACTAAATACTAAAAAATATGGAATATTATAGACTAGTATTAGAACACACAAATAGTTCAAAAATTTATAAACAACTATGTCAAATAATTTACTTATTATATCAAAAATAATTCTACAATATACTTTAAAAACATTAGAAATTAATGATTTTATTAGATTATATTGACTTGAACCTCGTACTACGAGTGTAAAATTTATTGCAATTTATTGTATATCATAAATATTGTCAAAAAAAGGACAATTTAAGCTAATTTAAAAATTCAAAGTTGTTTTCCTTAAATCAGGAATAAAAATATTCAAAATAAGTTTAACTCTATATTCAATGTAAGTTGAATGACTTTTTTATATTGAATATTTTTAGAGGAGGAACCTTTTTTCATGTATAGGAAAATATACTGCATTATAAAAAAAATGTTAACATAAAAATAACATGTTTTTTTAACTACGGCAGCTATTTGCACATAGAAGATAGGACGTCAGGACAAATTTTCTTGTTTTAAATTTATAGTATAGATATAGTAGGTCTCACTGGACCGATTTCTTTTAACAATACGTCAAAAGATCACAAATCGTATCTAGTTGAAGACATTACCCTTAAAAATTGAAAAATTTGCCCTCGTTCCATTATTATTTTTATGATAGGCTAAATTGAATAGCTTTTTTTTTATTGGTTTTTTTAGTTATATAATCATTAAAATTAATTAAATTCTGAATATTTCCATTGTAGAATATTTTTAAACGCCAAAAGTTAATTAGAAATGATTACTATGATTTTTATTTAAGTGATCTATTATGATTAAAATGTAAAAAAATCTAACTTTCCCGATAAATATACTGTAAATAGTAATTATAAAATTTGCTGACAGCATATTAATCTTAACAATTTCATTTTTTTCTATTTAATAATGTCAATTTCAAACTTGCAATTTGAGCTACATATTATGGTAATAAATTCATTTTTTTTTTATTAAAACTTTCACTTTAAAGGACAATAAAAAGTAGGTTCAACATTATTATTTTTAACATATTAAAAATTAAAATCAATAATAATTTGAAAACAATTAATTTTAAAAATGATATAATATATAATTAAAAGAATTACTAATCTGGGTATAATTAAGGAAATAGAAGTTGATGTTGCTTTTGTAATTATTCATCAATTTTTTAAAATTAAACACTATCTACAGATTTGCATCAAAGCGTTTCTTATAATAGTGATTTTAATCACTGTCAGATTAAATCTATACTGGACCCAACTATGCAACGTCTCCACTATGCCGCGACCCCACTGTGCTGGGTTTTTTTTTTTATTCTTTATATAAATATGAAACTACAAAATTTGAATCTAATTTTAATAAAAAATTTTAAAAACTAGTTACAAGTAACTCTTATGAAAAGTCAAGATTTTAAAGTTATTTATAACAAAACATCCTTTTTTTAAATACAGCTCTCTTGCACTTACAGTTTGAGTATACAATGAACCTGCATAAATTTGAATTATAGAAATATTCCTTTTTTTTCAATATATGTGAATTTTATACTTTTTATAAATTATCATGTAATAATTTTTAAGGTAACACGCCAGTAGTTTTTATGATAACACCAAAACATATTATCATTCAAGAAATAAAATTAGCTCAAACAAAAACTAAGATAACCGATATGGTTGCGGTTCGCCATCCTTTATCCAATGGATTTTATAGAACAACATTAATCATTTTGTGTGAGGATGGAAGTCTTCGTATGTTCTTAGCATCAAAAGAGCAAACCGGTAATTTTAATATTAATATTATTTATTTAATATTTTTATTTTTATGAAGTCTTGATTGGCTAGAACAAATTCTAATTAAAAAACTTACAGACAAAAATAAAAAAATTAATACCTTCTCAGTTTTGTGTCAAAGCGAAAAAGGTTGAATTTAAATTATTTATATGAGTTTTCTTTAACTAAGATTTACTTATTGTATTAAGTGCATTTATTTAAAAGTATGTTAAATTAAACTTAGTTTAATATTAAAACTATTGTGACATGACAGTTTAAAAAATAGGCATACATTGGCATTCCCAAAGAATAAAGTTAATTTCAATACAATACTTCATTACAATAATTGATGAATAGATATAACACTAATAAAATAATTTACTAATGTAATTACACTGTCAATTTTATTCTCTATAATAACCATCATCCTTTTAATGGTAGGATTAAAATTTATAAGTTAAAATGAATAAAATTTTAGATTTTTGGCTATCACCAAATATTCAACCTTCACGGCATACAATATTTTCTAAGATTAAGAAGAAAAAAATTAATAAGTCTGGACGTTCAACAGGTACTAATTTATAATATATTAATATGATTTTTTTAAAAACTACTTCATAAAATTATTATATTGACTTTTATCTGGTTCTGTAAAAGTGAATTATAATTTTCCATCAACTATTATTACAAGAAATTTTAATTAAAAAAAAATGTATACATTTTTTTACTTATTAAATTTTTTTCTCTATTCATTTAATAGTAATAAATATTTAATTTCCAATTTTAGGAAATAATTCGTCATTTCCTGTTGATTTCTTTGAATATTGTGTTGCTATGAATGAAGTAGAATTTGGAGGTAATGATTTACTACAAATCTATAATCCTCAACAAATTAAACACAGATTAAATAGTAATGGTATGTATTATTAATTCTATTCAAAAATTTTATACACTATTTTATGAATAGTTAATTAATTTTCATTTATTTATTTTAAAATTATATTTCATTACATCATTTTTTTGTGTATTTATAGTATATATATTTATAAAGATTTTTAATATTTTGGACTAAAGTACTCTTAGTCTAACCTTTGGTCCTAATTATCTTAAGTTTCAATACACGGTTGGTCTTAAACTATATTTTATATTAGGTATGTATGTTGTATCAACAAAACCACGCTTTTCAATTGAAATAACAAACAATGATAGTACAATGGTTATAGCTGGGATAAGAGTTAATGTTGGAAATCAAGATTTAGGACGTGCTCCTGGCTATATAGAAGTACTTGGTCGTTCTCAACAATTGGTACCCATCAACCGTAGTCGATGGTTTGATTTTCCGTTAACCAGAGAAGAAAGTTTGCAAAGTGATAAAAAATTAACCATAGTGTTTGGACCATCTAGAGATTCTGAAGGAGTTATTATGGTTGATTCTATAAAAATGTTCGTAAATTTAATTCTATTTTTTTTTACTTGTAGAATAGTTTTATTTAGTTTAAAATTTAATGATCAAATTATTTGTAAAAATTTATTATATCAAGATATGGTAAAACAAAAGAGTCGTTTGGGTGGCCAGATGAAGTTGATGAGATAAGTAGTGCTACAATATATGGATCAACATCTTCAAGTACTGTTATTACAAATCAGTATAACTCCCAAGAAAAAGAATTACCTATAACTAGTTGTACAATAAATCCTTTCGACAAGTAAATTGAATCTATTTTCATAAAATTGAAATTTAAGTTTACTAATATGGTTTTAAGAGATTATCATGGCATACATTTTTTTTTTCACCAAAGATAAATATTTCAATGTGAGATCTAACAAACTTCAATTTAATTTCTTAATTGCAGGTTTGTGGTTGGATTGTTATCAATATTAGAAAATAGCTTTAGTATTTTGCCTTGTAATGGTGAAACTGAAAAATATTCAATTAACAAGAATAAAGCTTTAAATTTTGCATTACAATTACTAAATCACAGTACTCAAGCTTGTATTCAACTTCATGCAAAATCTTTGATAGCAGTTATACATCCAGATTATCACAATTACAAAGTAAAGAATCCAGCGTCTATTATTAATTTTCCACTAATATATAGTGAAAGAATTCATTTATAAAATATTTTCTAACTATTAGCATCATTGCAAAGCTAAGAAGGTTTTAATTTTACTCTGATGTGTTTTTTTAGCTTCGATGGGAAGCTGAGAAGGTATTGGTTTTACTAAGATGTGTTTATTTTTTTTTTTTTTTTTTTTTTGTGTCTGTTACCACTTTCTCAGCTCTCACCGAACCGATTTCTTTCAATGATACGTCAAAAGATCACAAATCGTATCTAGTCGAAGACATTACCCTTAAAAATTGAAAAAAATTCCCTCGTTCCCTGTAAATGGGGGAAACCTCCAAAAAAATTACAAATTTAAAAATCGCTAATTTTCGAAATTTTTTCAATTTTTTTTACTTAAAAGTGCCATAACTTTTTCAAAAATGAACATATCAATATAATTCTTTTTTATATAGATGCATAATATCATTACCTTTCATTTGGTATATTTTTTTCATAAATTTAACCCTTAACCTGCCCACAAGGGGGGATTTAAAATGACAACTTTTTCACAAAAAATTAATTTTTTTAACTTAAATTTTGAAAATGTTCCGGAAGGTCTGACACTTTTATATATATCTTAAATTAAAGCTAATGTAATATGCTTTATCATGAAAAAAAAAAATTTCGGACTTTATCTTATCTTCATGGTGAAAATGGCTACCGAATGCTATTTTTGTGTGAAAATTTTCGATTTTGTATTTTCCATTTTTAACTTTATTATGCTATAACTTTTTGAAAAATGTATGAATCATTACAATTTTTTTATGAGAAGTAGTATTTATATAGATCTTTCATTCGACATACTGTTTTTTTAAATCGGACCATTTCCCTAAATACAGGGGGGATTCAAAACATAAAAATGCATATAGAAAGTAGAACTTTTTCAACGTAACTTTTGAAAGTGTTCCGGAAGGTCTGACACTTTTATATATATCTTAAATTAAAGCTAATGTAATATACTTTATAATGGTAAAAAAAAATTTCGGACTTTATTTTATCTTCATGGTGAAAACAGACATTAAACTTAATAAAAAAAATACGATTTTTGTAAAAAAATTCTTTTTTATATTTTTAACTTTATAATGCTATAACTTCTCGAAAGATGTATGGATCAATATAATTCTTTTTTTTGTAGATGCATGATGTCTTTACCTATCATTTGGTATATTTTTTTTATAAATCTGACTTTTTACCTGCCTACAGGGGGGGATTCAAAATGACAACTTTTTCACAAAAAATTGACTTTTTCAACTTAAATTTTGAAAGTGTACCGGAAAGTCTGACACTTTTCTATGTATATTAAATTAAAGCTAATGTAATCTACTTTATTATGTAAAAAAAAAATTTCGGAGTTTATTTTGTCTTCACGGTGAAAATGGCTACCAATGCTATTATTGTGTGAAAATTCTCGATTTTATTTTTTATATTATATTTAATTTTATATTGCTATAACTTATTGAAAAGTGTATGTATCCACACTTTTTTATGGGAAATACTATTTTCTAATAATCTCTTTTTTATTCGACATACTTTGTCTTAATCAGGATATTAATAAGGAACTAGCAGTTTATGAAGCTTTTGGAATAATCCACCAATTTTTTAAAATTAAACACTATCTAAAGATTTGCATCGAAGCGTTTTTTTTTGATAGTGATTTTAATCACTGTCAGATATCATTATACTTGATCCAACTATGCCACGTCACCACTGTGCCGCGACCCCCCTGTGCTGGGTTTTTTATTTAACTATATGAATCAGTAAAAAGTAAAAAATTTTGGCTTAGAATTAAATATTCAATATAAATTATTTATTTATTTATTGGGTGTAAAATGACATATTCCAATTGAGTTAAATAGTACTTTAATTAATTTGTCTGAATGTTCAGTTTAACTATGAGACTTTTGAAGTTTTTGTATATTTGTCATAACCCACTATCTAAACACTTATTAATTGATCATAATGAAATTTTATATAAAAATAAAATATTGTTAGTTAATGTATGAAGTATCAATAATTTTAAGATTCTTATTATTCCAAAACAGCAGTTTTCAAAAATAATATTTCATACATCTTATTATTGGATGAATATAGATCACTTAAATAAAAATCATAGTAATCATTTCTAATTAACTTTTGGCGTTTAAAAATATTCTACAATGGAAATATTCAGTATTTAATTAATTTTAATGATTATATAACTAAAAAAAACCAATAAAAAAAAACCCAGCACAGGTGGGTCGCTGCACAGTAGTGACGTGGTATAGATGGATCAAGTATAATGATATCTGACAGTGATTAAAATCACTATCAAAAAAAAACGCTTCGATGCAAATCTTTAGATAGTGTTTAATTTTAAAAAATTGGTGGACTATTCCAAAAGCTACATGATCTGCTAGTTCATTATTAATATCCTAATTAAGATAAAGTATGTAGAATGAAAAAGGGATTATTAAAAAATATTCTCATAAAAAATAATGTTGATCCATACACTTTTCAATATGTCATAGCATTATAAAGTTAAAAATGTAAAATATAAAATCGAGAATTTTCACACAATAATAGCATTTGGTAGCCATTTTCACCGTGAAGATAAAATAAAGTCCGAAATTTTTTTTTTGCATAATAAGGAATATTACATTAGCTTTAATTTAAGATATATATAAAAGTGTCAGACCTTCCGGAACATGTCTTCTGGCCCATTCCGGTCGTTTTTCGGTCAATGCGTGGTTCACATTATTCATTTGTTGACGATAGCGTTGTGCATTAACGGTTTCGCCGGGCTTCAAGAGTTCATAATACACAACACCGATCTGGTCCCACCAGACACAAAGCATGGTTTTTTTGCCGAAGCGATTTGGCCTTGGTGTTGAAGGGCCAGCTTTACCGGGGGACAGCCACGATTTTCTCCGCTTCGAGTTTTCAAAATAAATCCATTTTTCGTCACCAGTCACAATCCGGTGCAAAAATGATTTTCTTTCGTGGCGTTGAAGCAGTATTTCACAAGTGAGTTTGTGATTTTTCATTTGACGTTCATTCAAATCGTGTGGAACCCATTTACCAAGTTTATGAATCTTCCCCATTGCTCGCAAACGTCTGCTGATTGTTTCTTGTGACACATTTAAAACTTTTGCCAATTGCTGTTGAGTTTGNTAAAAATAAAATATTGTTAGTTAATGTATGAAGTATCAATAATTTTAAGATTCTTATTATTCCAAAACAGCACTTTTGTGGTCTACCGGAGCGCGTACTGTCTTTTATATTAAAATCACCACTTTTAAATTGGCGAAACCATGTCTCACATGTTCTAATCGATGGAGCATGTTCACCATATGTTTCTACCAGCAAACGATGACTTTCCACAGCCTTTTTCTTTCGATTAAATAGGAAAAGCAATGCGTGCCGCAAATGTTCTTTTTCAGGCACAAACGTAGACATGATCACTGAATGATAAAACATAGACGCTATTGTTTGGTGGACTCAACTTTTGCGTGTTTGTAGGTTAATGTCAGGTAAACAAACTGACGTAGTGTCAAATCGATGCGCAGTGTATTATTCGTTGGCGCTATATCTCAGTAAAACCGGAAAAGACTTATGCATACACCTGGTATTTCCTCTACAATATTTCTACTAGTGCTTTACTTCTACCAGTTAATGTTTCAATATTCCACGTATCTATTCTTACTTTGTATCTATCTTTCTTACCTATACATGAGTCCAGCCTAGATTTGAGTGATGATGTCCCTACACTGTTGATACTACAAACGTTAGGTAGTCCTGTACACATAACCGGTGAAACAGTTACCGCACAAGTTGTTCAACTGTTATTAAACACTTTATTCTTTAGACCTTCTTTGTAGAAGTATTCTTATCTTTTTCCACAAAAAAACTACTAATCAAGGTAAAATTAAGGAAATAAGAGTCGATGCTGCTTTGTAATAAACCACCAATTTCAAAAAAAATTAAACACTAACTACAAATTTACATCAAAGTGTTTTTTATGATACTTATTTTAATCACTGTCATATATCTTCTATATTTATCTCAACTATTCCATGTCTTTACTNAAAAAATTAAACACTAACTACAAATTTACATCAAAGTGTTTTTTATGATACTTATTTTAATCACTGTCATATATCTTCTATACTTATCTCAACTATTCCATGTCTTTACTATATAGTTATACCAAGACCCCACTGTGCTATTATTTTATTAAGTTAAATCAGTTGGTGATAAATAAATTTTTTTTGTAGGATCAATCAATGTTATGTCATATTATGAAAGTATTACAAGAATTTGAAAAAAATGACCCAAAAACCATGGATGCAGAAGCATATTATAGAATGGTTCTTATTATTCGAGGTATTGTTATTAACAGACCACAAAATTTGTCAAATTTTGAGTATACTGAAAATGCAGGTTAGTTCATAAAATTATTTAAAAATATTTTGCTTAATCTTCAACTTTTGTATTTATATGTTTAAACAGCCCTTTCTTAGAATCCTTAATAGGTTATTTAAAGTGTATAATGCTGTATTAAAAAATATATATTTCTATTTTAGGTTTGAATATTGATCAGTCTTCCCACTGGTGTCAACCTCTTATTCAAAAATTAATATCTGTCTTTTGGATATTATATTATAGTAGGCCAAAAAATTCTTTTTATTGTACTATTTATATTCCTGGTAAGTAAAACAAGATACTCCGCTAAAAATATTTTATTTTCTATAATTTATTTGTTTAATTCTTAGGTCTTAAACATACTGAAGCAGTTGTTTATGCTCTTGTTGAAATATTGCATTCTTTATTATTCTATGAATTTTCTGATTTTCAACACTCTCAAATTAATACTATTTCAAAATACTACCTTGATTTTTTACTGTGTGAAGACATAGCTGTTAGTTACACTGTAAAATTAGCATTAGCTAGAGCATTGAAGCCACATATTTTGAATAAAAAATATCAACAAATTGCTCGCGGAGATAACTCTTATAAAGAATCATTGACAGGTAATTGAGGGTAAAAGTAAAAAATTCTGTTAGTGAGCTAAAAAATGTTTTTATAGTTAATGCATCAAATAAAGAATCAGTGCTAGATGAAGAACAAATGCCTCAAGAGTCTTTAGAAGAAAATGTGCAGTATGAAGTTGATGAACCAATTATCTTATTGGATCCTAGAGGTAATTTTTTGGTTTTTAATTTTTAGAATAAAATTTGTAAAAATTAATTTATTATAATCTTATGTGTTATATATTATAAATTAGGATATACTTTTGAAAAAATAGTGACCAGTTAGTGAATAGTATTTGTCTCTTTAGTATTTGCTTATTTTTCAGTTTTAAGATGAAAATAAAATAAAATTAATAAATTAAAATTTAAAAAAAAAAACCATCAGAAAAATCTGTTGTATTTTAATATACTAAATGGTATTGAAATTAATACTTATTAGCTTTGATGAAAAAATTATTTGTCATGACACCTTATTTTCTATATATAAAATAGTATAATCTATGTTTTTCATGTTATTATAATTTTTTTAAAATTATTTATACCTTTATATTATAACTTATACTATATTAAACTTGCTTTTGTTTAGTTGAACCGCAAGAACAAGACAGACAAAACATGGAGGTTTTAATTGGAAATGTTCAGTTTCCTGGTCTTATTATACCACCTGATGATGATGAAGCTATGGTTGAATTAGCAATTGCATTGAGTTTACAGGTAAAAACAGTATTATCATTTTCAGAAGGAGTTTTATTATAAGCTTTTAATTTTTTTTTATCTAAACACTTCACAATATTTAGACTATTTTATACATATAATCTAATTTTTTTAATTATTCTATAGGATAATGAAAATATAGGAAACAATGCAGACTTGCAAAATATACAACAAGGATTTGTCGAATTACAAGGTTTAAATGCTCCCGTTGCTATACAAGTAATTCATTGTTATATTTTTAATTAACATTTTTTATTGGAAAATATTATATTCTATAATAACATAACCTTAGAATTTACAAGATATGTCATCCCAAAGTAATGACAATGGTCCAAATTCAGAAACACAATCTGCTCAACAAGGTCATTTAAGCGATACAACTGCATCAGCAGCAGGATCGGATGATGAAGATACAAATGCTGTACCTGATAGAGGCACTTTAAGAACTTCTCCAGTTCAAGTATTAATATATTTTTCTTCTAAAAGTTTAGAGATTGTATACTCTAATTGATAAGATGGGTAATCTCAATGCCAAATGTAACTGATTTTTATGTTATGGGTAACTTTTTTTGTAGACACATTATTAACCTTATTGAAATTGCTATACTTTTCAACGATATTGGATTAATTATTATTGAATTGAAAAAGTTTAGATATTTTCTCTTGAGAAATAGTAGAAATTTCCATTTATACTAAAAAAAAAAAAAAAAATTTAAATAGTTTAGAAGTTATGTTATTATTTTAAATTTTTATTTATTTATAGAATCAAATACAAAGGGAAGTTGACGAGGAAGTATCATATGATCATGACTTGGAGATAAACAATCATTTACACACTTTAAGATTATCCTTACTAGAGAAATTCATTAATCATATCCCCAATCTACATCATACTGGTGGAAAAAGAGCTATTCCATTTTTCCAAGTATATTATTTTGCTAAAATTAATTAAACTAAATATTTTTTGGGCATCAGATATTTTTTCTTAATTAAAACAGACATCACACTTGTTATAATTTTAAAACGGTTAACCTATAAATATTTTTATTTTATTTATTATTTTTTTTTTTATAGGTAGTTTCATGTATTGTATCTGATATAGATTTAAATAATGAAAGAGATAAAGAATATTTTACTGAACTATTGCAAATGTTTATAACTTATATTTGCCGTGAAACTTTAGAAGATGCAAATTTACATATAAGAAATTCTCAAAGAGAAATATCTATTATTATAATGAGATTTTTAGGTACATCATCAAAATTTATATTATATACATAAAACATATTAACTTAATATGTCTAAATTAATTTTAGGAGTTTTATTAGCAAGGCCAAAATCTAGTTCAAAATCTGTTCCAGATCACACTACATACATATCACAAACTACAGCATCAATGCTCAAACATGCACAATTCATATCATTTTGCTTGAAAGCATTAAAATCTTTACAAGAATATTGGGCAAAGTAATAATTTATTTGTAAACAAAACATTTAGAAAAATAACATTCAAAATGTTTATTTTAGGTTTAACAACGATAATGATGATAATAGTGCTACCGTTGTTAGTGTTTTATTAGAACCTAATGGTCCACCTCAAGTTCCAGATATGAGTCCGTTCTTTTTAAAACCTTACTCTATTAGCCAAACAAAAGATATATTTCATAACTATTCGATAATATTGACTGAAATGCTGTTGCGTTTACCTTATCAAATACAAAAAAATTGGTCTCAATTATCTTTTGAGCCAGTAAGTATTTAAAAAAATGAACCTTCTTAAAATATATCATTCAATTTATATTTCTTAAATTAAGGTTCATTATTCAGTAGTAAATATTTTGTATTGTTGGGGCTAATCCCCTACCAATGTTTATTTTTTACTAAATTTAAAAAAATCCTTAGCCTTGAAAGTGTTTTGTATTTATATTAATTAATTATTAGTTTTTCTTAGTTGTTTAAAGTATAGCAAAATTTACCATGTTTCATTTGATGTACATTTAATAGGAATGGCTTACAGTATTATGTGAATTTATGGGCTTAAAATCAATCAATCCATTTATTAAAAGACAAGTTCGTAAGTTACTTTTGTTTGTTTGTGGAAATAAAGATAAATATCGTCAGATTAGGGATATGCATGCTTTATCTTCAAGTATGAAGGTAAATAAATAATAAGTTTGATTAAGTTATTAGTTAAATATATTATGTGTTAATATTTTGATAGAACTTTCAAACTACATGTGATATTGGAGAACATGCTACACCTCAGTCATTAAATTTGACATATGATAAACTTGTAGAATTAGTTGAAGATGTGAAAATATGTGTTGATATAGCATCAAGCCGTATGTTAAATTGGCAATTATATTGTCGCAAAGAAAGTTCTGTTTTACTTTACTTGATGCGTGTGGCTTACCTTCTAGATGAAGGTGTATCATCAACTATTTTACATTTACTTCAGTATGCAATTTGTGGAGCCAAAAATCAATCTGCTACACCATCAACTAAAGAATCAAAATCAAAAGTTTCTAAGGTTGCCGAAGATATTGAAAATGCTATGCTTGAAGAAGCACAATGTATGATACTTGTTAAAGAATTGAACAAACGTTTAAACAGAGATATTTTAAGTCGTTTTATTAAAACATTTTTACTTGAAACAAATTCAACTCATATTCGTTGGCAAGCTCATGCTTTGATATTATCCATTTATAGAAATTCAGAACAAGATGACCAAGAAAAACTTTTAGAGCTGTTGTGGTCATTATGGCCACAATTGCCAACTTATGGAAGAAAAGCTTTACAATTTGTTGATTTACTTGGCTATTTTAGTTTCAAGTATAATCAGAAAGCTGCTACATCTACTAAATATGCAGAACAAGCAATTGAATTATTGAGAAATCAAAATCATAAATTAGCTTGTCATCCTAATGCTAATTTATATACACAAATATCTCAGTATGTAGATTTGGAAGGTTTTTATTTAGAAAGTGAGCCATGCATGGTTTGTAACAATCCTGAAATACCATTTAGCAATATTAAGTTAACTTCTATTAAAGTGGATTCTAAATTTACTACTACTACTCAGATTGTTAAATTAATGGGAAGTCATACAATTAATAAAATAGTATTACGCATAACTGATCTGAAACGTACAAAAATGGTACGCACTATGAATATTTATTATAATAACCGTTATGTTCAGGCTGTTGTAGAGTTAAAAAATAAACCAGCAATGTGGAATAAAGCTAAAGAAATAACTTTAACTTCTGGACAAACAGAAATAAAAGTTGAATTTTCAGTGCCAATTATTGCTTGCAATTTATTAATTGAATATGCCAGTTTTTATGAAAACTTGCATGCTTCTTCAGAAACTTTACAATGTCCAAGATGTAGTGCAACAGTCCCGGCAAATCCTGGTGTTTGTTCAAACTGCGGAGAAAATGTATTCCAATGCCATAAATGCCGGTAAATTTTATTTTTTATTAATTTTAAGTATTCATTAATTAGTTTAATTTATTTTAAATGTTTCAGAGCCATAAACTATGACGAAAAAGATCCATTTCTCTGTCATTCCTGTGGTTTTTGTAAATATGCTAAATTTGATTATGTACTTACTGCTAAACCATGTTGTGCTGTTGATCCTATTGAAAATGATGATGATAGAAATAAAACAGTAGGCTCTATAAATTCAAACTTAGAAAAAGCTGATCGTTTGTATAAACAACTAGTATCATCAAAACCTGTTCTAGAAGTAAATTATTTGACTTATTATTAAGTAGTAGGGTTCGGTTCATTAATAATATATTTTTCAATATTAATATTAATATTGCTTGATATTATACAATTTTTTAATAGTAGTAGTAAGGCTATGACAGGAAGTTTTTCCAAGTTTAATACATTTTTTGTTTATCTACTTAAAAAAATTAGTGAAATTTAGTTGATAATGTTTGATAATTTTGAAAAAGATTATTTTATTTTTGCTATTAAATTTACAATGTTATCTTTATTTTGTCATAGTTTTATTGTTTAAATATATCAATAATAATAATTTTGATGGTAATATCTATTTGAGAAATCTATTATTTAATGAAAAATAAAATAAAATTACATTTGTATTAAATATTATTAATATAAGATTAATGTATTAATTTAATTAATTTCTTTCGTAATTAAGTTCTCACTGTTTTTTTATTATAAAAATGCAACTTTATGGTAGAAAAATAGTTTCATATATATTATTCAAAGTATTGCCTATCGCTAGCTTCAACTTTTTCCTATCTTTCTGACTCAGTTCGAATATCATTATGATAAAAGTTTTCCTCTGTTTAGGCTACTTACAAATCAAGCCATTTTTTGATGACTTCATATGTGTAGAACTACTGATAAGTTTGACCATATGCCATCAAACAAGTAATAATTGGATGGCGAAAAATATCTGGGGAATATGGCGGGTAGAATAGAACTTTCCATTTGATCATTTCTGTGTAGGTTTTAATAGTTTTGGCTACATGATGCAGTAGAATCACTTTTTCATGCTTAGCTTGTATTGTGGCCATTTTTGTGTTGTGCTCAGTTCAGTAGCATTAATTGAAGTCTATGCCGTTTCCCAGTGATGGTTTTATTCAGTTTCAACAGCTCATAATAAATAACATCAACCTTGTCCCACTAAATGTACAGCATAACCTTCGCAGCGTGCATATTCAAACAAGATAACAATGTAGTAGCATGACTGGGCAGTCCCCATGACTTTCTTTTCTATGAGTTGCTGTAATCAATCTTATGCAATGAAAAAAGCCCTTCCTTCTGGAGCAGTTGTTCATAGGTGAAAAAACGTTGCTCAACATTTCTTGGTTTCAAATAATAAGAAATCCAAGTTCTGTGCTTTTGAATCATTCTCAACACATTCAATTGCTTGGAAATGCCCAAATAAATAACTTCTCATATCAAAGCAAAGTGTACCTGCGAACATGGATTCTCATCAAACAATTCCACAAATTCAGCCTCTAAAGGATTTTGACCTCCTTTCTGCAGACAGTCTTCAACATAAAAATCGCCATTTGTAAAGCAAAGTATAAAGAACCAATCTCGGCATATTGTTTCACTTAGAGCAGCATTTCCATAAAAATTTTTTAACTCCTGATGCGCATCATCTGCCATTTTTTTTTTAATGAAATAAGAAAAGTAACACTTCCTGCAAATGATGATTATTTGGCACAAAATCTGATATTTTCATACTACTAAAAGTATATGATGCCACTACAAAATCAATATTTTGTCATAGCGGTTTATTTACCATATATCTCTTATGGCTTGGTTCATGACGTTTTAGATATGTCAAAATCAATCAGTATTTATTGCTGGAGCCATCTATTGACAAACAGTGAAAACTTAGTTGCACACCTAATATAATAATAATAAATTTATTATTTTCTATGAAAATTTTCTACCAATTTGTCTTATATATTATATATTTGTGTATTATGTCTAATTAGAACATGTTGGTGAAAGTTATGGAAAATAGGTTAGAAAAATCTAACAATACCAACTTAGAGGATAATACTACTCCGAATGTAGTGCCTGTGTCTGGTTTTGCTGCTGTAGTTAATGGAGCTATGAATAATAATAATATATCATCTGGACCAGTTCATCAAGTTAATAGATCTATTCAACTTCTTGCTCAAAAATATGGCTCCGAGTGTCGTAATACTTTTGAAGATTTAAGCCGCATTGTACAAGTAAATATCTAGATTTAATTTAAAAATAATTTTTTTTTATATTAGTGTTTATATTTATGTTTAACATCTATTCAACATTTTTTTTACAGAAAATCTAAAATATTTGAAACTTTTATAATGAATTGTTTCTCTTTAATAATTATTTATGTTAAATTTAGGATTAATTATTTAATTACCATTCAAAAGCTTTATTTTAGCTTCGATGCGAAGCTGAGAAGGTATTGGTTTTACTAAGATGTGTGTTTTTTTTTTTTTTATGTCTGTTGCCACTTTTTCTGAGCTCTCACTGGACCAATTTCTTTCAAAAATACGTCAAAAGGTCACAAATCGTATCTAGTTGAAGACATTACCCTTAAAAATTGAAAAAAATTCCCTCGTTTCCCGCAAATAGGGGAAATCTCCAAAAAAATTACAATTTTAAAAATCGATAAATTTTGTCATTTTTTTCACTTTTTTTTCTTAAAACTTCCATAATTTTTTCAAAAATCAACAAATCAACATAATTTTTTTTTATACTAAAACCTTAGATATTTCCCTTTCATTTGATATCATTTTTTTGAAAATCTAACACTTAACCTGCTCATTAGGAGGGATTGAAAATAGCAAGTTTTTTACAAAAATTAACTTTTTCAACTTAATTTTTGAAATTTGTTCCGGAAATACTGCGTCCTTTAAACATATGTCAAATTAAAGCTTATGTCATGTACTATAAAATTTAAAAAAAAAAATTTTCCCGACGATCTATCTTCTATGAGCAAATGGCTACCGTATTCTAAAATATGCTATTTTTGTGTTAAAATCCTGGGTTTTGTATTTTATTTTATTTTAAAATATATTATAAGGGCAATACACTGACTTTCATGAATATTTTATTATTTAATTGACATAGAATAAAGTTCATAAGACATAAGAAATTAAACTTATTAATTTTTTTTTGCTTTTTAAAAGTTGAAAAAGTAATTTTTAAATTTGAGTTAGCTTAAATAGCCAATTTTTTCAAGCGGCGAAAGCAATGAACAGTTGCCTAGTTTTTAACATTTGTCTCTTTCATGCTAACGGTACGAGGTTAAAATCCGTCTGTGGCAATTAATAATTTGCATTTTTTTTTGAGTTAGAATAAATTTTACAAATCATTTGATATTTATCTCATTTAGATTTGATAACTTCAATAAATATAAAGGATCCTCACTATAGTCTCCCCTTGTGAGAAGAAATTTATATTCATGTTAATATTATTTTACTATGTGGTTCTTTTTGTGGCTACGATTTGTTTTGCCAACCCTCACTAGACCTACTTTTTTCAACGATTTGTCAAATGATTACAATTCGTATTTAGTTTAAATTATTACTTTTAAAAATCGAAAGAATTATTCCTTATTCAAATAAAAAGTAGCTTAACCAGCTTTTTTCATACAAACAATTAAAAACATTAATTTCTATTATTCTTAAAGTATTCATTATCGAATTAGATTTGATATGATAAAAGTATTCAACTACACAAGTAAATAATTTTACTTTGTAATTTATTAATTTTTTACTCTATTTGTGTGTGCTACTACTAGACTATAATATTCCAAATTTATTGGTAACATGTTGCTATACAAATAATTTCTAAAAAAATTGATTGTTAGTTTCTTCTGAATTAACAATGAATTTTTACAATTATAATCAATTTTTATAATACGCTAAATTGAATAGCTTTTTTTTTATTGGTTTTTTTTAGTTATATAATCATTAAAATTAATTAAATTCTGAATATTTCCATTGTAGAATATTTTTAAACACCAAAAGTTAATTAGAAATGATTACTATGATTTTTATTTAAGTGATCTATTACGATAAAAATGTAAAAAAATCTAACTTTCCTGATAAATATACTGTAAATAGTAATTATAAAATTTGCTGACAGCATATTAATCTTAACAATTTCATTTTTTTCTATTTAATAATGTCAATTTCAAACTTGCAAGTTGAGCTACATGTTATGGTAGTAAATTCATTTTTTTTATTATTAAAACTTTCACTTTAAAGGACAATAAAAAGTAGGTTCAACATTATTATTTTTAACATATTAAAAATTAAAATCAATAATAATTTGAAAACAATTAATTTTAAAAATTATATAATATATAATTTAAAGAATTACTAATCTGGGTATAATTAAGGAAATAGAAGTTGATGTTGCTTTTGTAATTATCCATCCATTTTTTAAAATTTTTACTATTATATTTAAAATATAATATAAAAACTTTAATCTTTAACTAATATTTACATAAAATTTTTTATGCTTGTATAAAAATAATTCTCATCCTCTTTAGAAAGTGCTGGCTAGTAGAAAAGAGTTAATAGCATTTGATCAAAAACAACTTGGACAAGTCAAATCAACCAGTCGCTTTAGTGGTACTGCATATTCTCTTTCTATATCTGAATCAATGACATCTTTAACTTTGTCTCATTCTGAAATAACTTCACAACCGTCCATTAGTACAAGTTGTTACGGATGTATAACAGCTGCTTTGGAACATTGCTTTGTTATGTTACGTGCATTAGCTACTAATATGACACTCCGTAAAACACTTTTACAGCAAGGATTAATACAAGAGTTAGTTGAAAATAATATAAGAAGAGGTTCTGCCCAGGTAATTAACAAAAAATATATAGTTATATTTATAATAAATATATATTTTTTTTCATGGCTTAGACACAAGATGAAGTTCGAAACTTGCTATGTATTTTAATACAAGATAATTCAAAGGCCACTGAAGATCTTTGTGGTCTTTTAAGTCAAAGAATATCTCTTACTATAAGAGGACCTATAGCAAATGCTGATTTAGCATTTGCGGTTAGGCCAGAAATATCATTGTTAGCTACCATGCTGTATAAAGAAGATTCTTGTTGGGAACAAAAAGCAAAATGTGTTATGCAATTATTCTTTATGACTTGTAAAGAGTTCCAGTCTTCAGCTATTGTTACTTATATAACACTACCATGCTTAAAAATGATGCGTAATATAATAAAACCACCAGCTCCATTAGCTAAAATTAACAAGGTACATTTAATTAATATACAGAGTTATATAATTTTTATTATTAAACATCAAAAAATAATTACTAATTAATGATTCTATTGATAAAACCTCTAATATTATTTATTATTTTAACTAGATTTTCATATCCACACTATTCTATAATTTTTAATATGTATCAAATATCTTCATTACTTTTTAGTTATTGATTTGATTCCATATAAAGTAATAATTTTTGATATGTAAAAAAAGTTTTCAATGCTCTCTTCAAAATATATTTTAAAAGCATAATTTTTCATCATGGAATGCATTTAGACCTATTTTACTTCCTGAACCAATCTTTGATTAGGCCAATTGGTACATGGAAAATGTTCAAAATGTGCTAATGGTAGTTGTATATAAAAAGATTGAAAACTGCTGTATTAAACAAACACTAGTTAAAACTTAAAAATAACAACTAGGTGTTAAAGAAATAAATAAATAACAAGAACTTTTGAAAAGTATATAGAGTAATGGTATAAATTAGTAATAAAAAAAACAATTAAAAATTAGTTCTACATACAAATTTTAATAGTTTCTTATTATTTTAAAATTATAATAAAAAGTTTCAAATTGAAGTTTGTGCTATATTAATTATTTTTTAAATAATAGTTAAATGTAACCAAATAAAATTAACGTATTTTTGAGTTGTATTATGGCTGCTATTTCTGTATACCAAAGGTAAACTATTACAAATAAAAATGTTTTTTTTTTCAAAAATGAGTTTAAACTATTTTTGAAATACTTAATGAATAATAATTTTAAAAATAGTATTACCCTATTTAAAAAATAAATGTGAACTGTGATAGTTTACCTCTGATTTACAGATTTATTGATAATTGAGTATAATATAATTGAATATCACTAAAATTAATTATAATATTTATCAAACTATTTGAACTTTTTTTCAGGAAAAGTCAACAGAAAGTTTATCAACCATTCAAAGTTCAGATCATTTAATGGTAGATTTCAAAAAATGGGCTGCACAAAGCCCTGAACATATGTTTAATGTATGGCGACAAAGACTTCAAAAAAAAACTTCAGAAATTTCTATAAAAAAAATTAAAAACAAAGTAATGAACACTTGATATTTTTTACTTGATTATTTGTAATAACTAGCACTTAAATTTTATTTTAAATTAAAAATTTCCTCCATATTAATAAAATGGTAATTGAGTATTATGTTTTACAATTTTTAGAAAGAAATAAGGCAATATTATTTAGCTTCTAAATACTTCAAAAAATGGCGTTTATTTTCTTTAAGGGATATTACTAAACCATTCCAACTTTCTAAGTTGTCATGGCTTAAACATTTTCTATTTTGTTCAAGTACAAGACTATTAAGACAAGTTACATGTGCTGTTTTTGAAAGTATTGCTCAAGTTCCAGAAAGAAAAAAAGAGGCAAGTTAATAGTTTTTTTTTAAAAATAAGATATTCTTATTTTAATTAGATGTTTCCTTTACAGATTTTAGATCTTCTTACTGAATTTTTAACAGAGTTAGGTAGTGCAGGAGAAAATTGTGCTGAATTCTTAGCTCTATATCAAAATCTAATCCAACATACTCCTTGGAAACAATACTTAGCCTTAAAGGGAGTGTTACTAATGATATCAGATATAATTACAAAAGAAATAAAGCATTTGCATTACTTAGAAGAAACAACATTAACTTCAGATTTATCACAAGGATTTGTTTTAAAAAGTCTTACAGGATTGTTAGCTTCATTTTTAGAAGTTGATAGAATAAAACAACAGTATAAAGGAAGGCTTGTAGGTGCTATATTAAATGGTTATCTTTCACTTCGTCGATTGGTTGTACAAAGAACACGGCTTATTGATGAAACTCAATCTCAACTTCTGGATCTTCTTGAAGAAATGACTTGTGGAACGGAATCAGAATCTAAAGCATTTATGGCTATTTGTGTAGAAACTGTAGAAAAATGTGATCCTCAAGATGTTCGAACTCCTGTCTTTGTCTTCGAAAGATTATGTTCTATTATTTATCCAGAAGAAAATGATATTGGTGAATTTTACATGAATTTGGATAAAGACCCCCAACAAGAAGACTTTTTACAAGTATACATAAAATATTTTATCATTACTTATGATTTTCCATAAGTCATAAAATACATTTTATTTTTCATTGATAAATTAAATCATTAAAAAATGTAATGAATATTTTGGAATATTATAAATATTCTATTTTAATTTTAACAGGGTCGTATGCTTGGTAATCCTTATAGTAGCAATGAATCAGGTTTAGGACCATTGATGAGAGATGTGAAGAATAAAATATGTCAAGATTGTGAACTAGTTGCATTATTGGAAGATGATAATGGAATGGAATTACTAGTTAATAATAAGATAATAAGTTTGGATTTACCCGTTAAAGAGGTAATTTGTTAAATCGCTAGAAAACTAAGGAACATTATTTTACATACTTAGACTTAGATACCGAATAATTTTCAATAAGTTCCAATCTAAAGCTTTTCTGATGTAAAGCTAAATTAATGTTACTATGATGTTTTTTTCGTGTCTGTTGTCACTTTTTTCAACTCTCACTAGACCGATTTCTTTTAACAGTACATCAAAAGATCATAAATTGTATTTAGTTAGAGACATTGTTCTTAAAAATTGAATAAATTTCTCTTCCTTGTAAATGGGGGAAATTTCCAAAAAAATTTGGATTTTTAAAATTAGTAAATTTCAACTTTTTTTTTTAATCTGTCATAATTTTTTGAAAAATGAACAAATCAAAATAATTTATTTTATATCAATAATTTTACGGTTTTCTTTTCATTTGAAATTTTTTTTTTATATTTGTGACCCTTTATTTGCTCACATAGAGGAATTAATAACAACTTTTGTACAAAAAGTTAATTTATTCAATTTAACTTAAAATCTGTACTAGAAATACTGTGTTATTTATAACACAGTTAAAAAACATACTATTTTTGTGTTAAAATTAGTAAATCATGATGGGACATCCTATATATTCCTTTTATCTGACATATTATTTTACTTTTGTTTAAAATGCCATTTAAAGGGGAGGTAACAGTAATGAAGTTACTGACCTAATATAATAATATTATATTAGGTTATTATGTATTAATAATTATAATAACTAATATAGAACATAAACAGAACATAGGTTAAATTAAAGCATATGTTACATACTATAAGTAAATATACATGCTATTTTTGTTGTCAAATTTCATATTTACTATTTGAATTGCTATAACTTTTTAAAAAATGTATGGATTAATGCAATTTTTTTATAAATACTTCATACATATTCGTTTTACATATTTCGGATTATTTTTCATTATAAAGAGAGAGTTCAAAACTTCAAACATTTGTAAAAAAAGTAGAATGTTTTCAATTTGCCTTTTGAAAATGTTCTAGAAATACTCCAGACATTAATCATATGTTAAATTAAAACTTATGCTATTTACTATAAGTTAAAAAAAAATTTTTCTCAACATATCTTCTGTATGTAAACGTTCCTAAAACTTAAATATAAAATATTATTTTGGTGTAAAAAATTACCGTTTTTCAAGTTGTTACAATTTTTTTTCAATTATAGTAAATAGCATAAGTTTACATTTAACATGTGATTAAAGTATGGAGTATTTTTGAAACATTTTCATAAAACAAGTTGAATGACAATATATTAGCCATATTTACAAACGGTATTAATTTTAAAATATTTGTTATAACAATTTTTGCCTTTATTAAATTACTTATTTTGATGTAAAAATCACAATTTTCTATTACAAATTTTTTTTTTTTTCATTAATTTGTCTATTTATTTTAAACGGTATAGTCCTATTAAAAGGAGCTGAGTTAATTACCTATTTAACCCCCTTTTACAAAAAATTATAATTAATAAATATTTCATTGTCTTAAAATAATAATTATGTTAAGAAAATCATTTTTGGTGTTTTTAGTTTGATGTTGTCATATGATTCACGTAACAACAAAATATAAAAACAAGGTTAAGGTCAAAAAAAAGACAACATACTACGATATATTATACTTCTTAATTTATCATATTAAGTAATAGTTAATAATCAAATAATAGTTTTTTAATTCATCTTTTGTAACTGTTAAGGATATTAACTTTATTTTATAATGGCAGCATACATATTTAACTACCTTATAAAATGACAAATGATTTATTTATGAAAATGATTGGTCAAATGATAACTTTTGACCCATTATTTTAGAAGTTGTAACTATTTTAAAATTTAGAATTGAGGTAAAGTGTGGTTATAATATTTTTATCATTACTTCCTCCATTCCATATTAAAAAATGTTAAAAAAAACTTCAATTATAATAGGTCTAAAGTTATCATTGATTAGGAATTTTCTTAATTTTAATTCATTTTTTACTTTCTAAACTAGTTAAATATAATTTTTTTTTTTTTTGCCACAGGTAATTTTTAATGAATCGGCAAACATTTTTCACATCCAAATTTTTGATAAAATTGGCAATTTAAGGCGATTCAAATGTTACAATTAATTTTTTTGACTTAAAAGAAAAAAAAAATTGAAAAAAGTTAAACTTTATATTCTATGTCAATTAGTTTTATATAATATTCATGAAAATCAGTATATCCTATCATAAGGTATATTAAAATAAATTAAAATACAATACCAAGAATTTTAACACAAAAATAGCATATTTTTAAATATGATAACCATGTTCACTATACCTCAAAACTTTTTCGAAAAGTTATAATAATTTAAAGTTGGAAAAATAAAATCTAAAATCGTAAATGTTAACACCGAAATTGCATGTTTTTTAACTACGGCAACCATTTGCACATAGAAGATAAGTCGTCGGTCCAAATTTTTTGTTTTTTGAACTTAAAGTACATAACATTAGCATTATTTTAGCATTTATTTGAAGCTTGGAGTATTTTTGAAATATTTTCAAAACTTAAGTTGAAAAATTAAAATTTTTGTGCAGTAGTTGATATTTTGAATTTTCCCAGTGCAGATTTTCAAAAAAATTTATTTCAAATGAAAGTGAAATATCTATGGTTTTAATATAAAAAATAATTATTCGGATTTGTTTATTTTTCAATAAGTTATGACAATTTTTAGAAAAAAAAGTTTAAAAAATATCGAAATTAACCAATGTTCACTATTTATAAAAAACAAGGGCAAAATTTTTAATTTTTGAGGCTAATGTCTTCAACTAGATATGATTTATGATCTTTTTATGTATCATTGAAAAAAAGTATGTTCAGTAAAAGCTGAGAAAAAGTAGTGACAGACACAAAAAAAATAACAAATCATGATAAAATTAATAACTTTTAAGCTTTGCATCGAAGCTAAAAGAAACGTTATAATTAATAAATCAAGAATTTTATAAAATTAAAAAATACCAAAATTAATTTTCATGATATAATTTATTATTTTAAGAATAATCAGGTGGTTAATATTAAAAGAATCACACTGTATACACAACATCTTTATAATTTTATAATTTCCTCCTTAAAAATTACAATACTAAATTTTTCCATATCAATTTCATACTAAATTTAATGACTGTAATAATTATTTATTCATGCATTATTTTTATAAATCAAAAAACTTATAATCAGTATACAGAGTGGCCAAGCATCCACTGACAACTTAAATAACTTTTGATTCAGTTAATTTTTTTTTCTTAATAGTTAATTTACTTGAGGGCTATAATAATAATTTAATTAATATCATTTTTATAATTAAATTTAAAAAAATGTGTTGAAAAATTTAAAAGTAGCCATCTTTTTGAATAGATTTTTAAAAATAATTTGACGAAAAAAATTCTTATTAATGTTTGTTAGTTAATTTTCAGTAAAATTTTTTATTTCATTAAAATTTGAATTTTATTGTATTTATTCCACGGTATCAATCGCTGGCTATATTTTATAAAAAAGGACAGAAATAAACATAATCTTTTCACGTTAAATATGATATAAGTATGGATTTTTCCATGAAAATTATTAACAATGACTAGTTTTAATTCAAATAAAAACACGAACAAAACTTATTATTTAATAAGCAGTTTTATCTCTTTAGAGATAAAACTATTTAATTTACTTTTCTTCTGTCCCTTTCTCAACACGTATTTCAATGATTGATACCGTAAGAAATCACATGAAAATTAAAATTTCCACAAACTTTAAAATAATACAGACTATTTACTATTGAGTACTAATAAGATATTTTTCTACCAAAATTTTTCTTAAAATCTACTCTAAATAAAATATATTTTATTTTTACATTTAAAAATAATTAATATTTTTAATAAATGTAAAAGTATAAACTATTGAGATATAATTATAAACCTAATGTTAAATTGTTATTTAAAAAAAATTAATAAAAAATATTAACTATATCAAAAGTTATTTAAGTTGTCAGTGAGTGCTGGGCTACCTGTATAAAAAAGGAAATATGAGTTCATGTTGCTTTTGGAATAATTCAATAATTCTTTCTAAAAATTAAACACTATCCATAAATTTTCATCAAAGCATTTTTTATAAAAGTGATTTTAATCACTCTCAGATATACTAGTCCACACTATGCCACAATTCCTCAATGCTGAGTTTTTAAAATATAGTTATAATTTCACTAATTTTTGAAGGTTTATAAAAAAATTTGGCTTCCTGAAGGCGGTGATAATGAGGCTGCCATGCATATAGTTTACCGTATGAGAGGTTTACTGGGAGATGCTACAGAAGAATTTATTGAAACATTAGATGCTAAATCCGATCAAGAAGTTAATAATGAAGAAGTCTATAAAATGGCTAATGTAATGGCAGAATGTAGAGGAATAGAAGTCATATTAAATCGTTTATCTACAATTGAAGATCTTTCTAGATCACGTCCATTACTTCAAGTATTACTTAAATTACTTAATCTTTGTGTTAAAGTCAACCACAACCAAGAAGTATTGACGGATCCAAAATTAGGTTCTATTCCAATATTATTAAGTACACTTGAACTTTGTTTGAATAATGAAGCTGATGGATTATCCAATACATCTTTGACTGAACAAACTCTTGATGTAAGTAAAAAATTATGAATATTTAAATGATATGCAGAAAAACCAACTCTTTTTTCCTTTCATGTGTATTTTTATGCCACCGAACAAACCTAGTCAAGAAGCATTACTTCCCTGGCTTGCTCAATACTATTTATTTCACATTACTATATATATACAGGTGATTAAAATCTGGTAAGACACTCATTTTCTCAGAAAATATTGAGAATTTTAAATTTTATTATAGAGAAAACTCTACAATAATATATAGTCAAACCATTATTTTTTTCGTCCCTTCAAGGATAAAAACAGTTATTTATAATTCCCTTAAATGGGAACCCTTATTTTTAACTTAAAATTATAATAGAAAAAAAAATTACAAACAATTTTGTTCTTATAATTTTTTTTATCAGATTAACCGTTCGTCCGTTACAGCTTGTTAAAATTAAGTGATTTTAGGCCAAATTTCAATTGTTATTTTACTGTATTAAATACAGAAGTCATTATTTTTATTTGCTGTTGCATAAACCAAATTATATTGATTAAGTTATGACAGATAAATTAGCTATAAAAATTTATTACGCACTAAATGAGTGATAACAGTAATAGATTCAAACCGGATTACCAGATTTTAATCACCCTGTATATAAATGATATTTATATTAAATAAACTTATCACTAAAGGTTTAATGTGTATTATCATCGACAATATTTAAAATACCCTTTTTAATTTTAAATTACTATTGCTTTAGCCTATAAAGCTATAGTATTTTATTTGGTCCAAATTCTTCAGGTACAATTTTTAGTTGTTTATATCATTGGAACATTCCTAGTTTTTCCTATCTTTTTTTCTCAGAATCTCCTTTAACATTATCACTTCATTTGAAAAACGTTTGATGGAGCTGCAGTTCTCAAGACTTGGCTACTTCTAAGTGGCCTGTTGCTCTAGTTAGACTCATCCTCTGTGGATCTCACATAGGAAATTTCATGAATATGATTGTAACCATGCCTTGATACTTTTTTGAAAATAATACATTACTATTAAAATTTAATTTACCAAGCTTTTATTATTAAAAAAAATAATTGAAGATCAATTTTATCCAACATAACACCCTTTATTTACAAATAAATGAATTGATTAAATGATATAAACAAACATTTTGTGAGCATTGCTTTTGCAGTAGACATATTAATACATACTATTAATTAAAAAAATTATATTATTATGTTATGTAAATATTAAAATTTACTGAAAATTAAACATAATTTTTACTTTTAGATATTAGAAACAATTCTTTCAAAAGCTACATCTCAAAGTCTTGATAATTTTGCTAAACTCTCTGAAACATTTGGTCCTGATGATCATATTCAATATCTATTGAATTGTGCTTCTAATGCACGTTATAATATTGTACAACATTTAACAAGAGTTTTAGCTGCACTAACTTACAACAATCAAGCAAAAATGATGATACTCATGGATCATTTTTCATCTGTAATTTCTGATTTTGAGAAATTTGATGATGTTCACTCGGCTGAAGATGAACAAATGGTAAATACACATACATATATTTATATATATATATAGATTAAACTGACAACTCTTATAACTTTTGATACAATTAAAAATTCACTATAATTTTTATTATATTTATATAATTATTTTTTAATATAATTTTTTTAATTAAAAATTTTATTAGACAATGTTCTTTTAAAAAATAATAATTATAAACATTAAAAAATAAAATAGTCAGTATTATTACTTTGTCTCATTATCTCATGAATAAAAAAAATTATGCTTCAGATGAACCTATTTTGTGATTTGACTTATGGCATTGAAAACAATTCTCTTGGAAATACACTAAAAGATTACATATTGTCCCTTGGAGTTATTAATAATGTTATTAATTATATTACGGTATGAACTATTGTTACTCATCTTTATTGGTTATTTATTTATAAAACTTTTTAATTTTAATAGCATCATGCACCTACTGTAAAGTCAACATTGAATAAAAATAGTGAAAAGGATGAATGGAAAGAATTTATTTCCAAGCCATCATTGAAATATATCCTAAGATTTTGGACTGGATTGGCTAATGGTCATGAATCAACTCAAGTAATTATTAAATATTTTATCTTTTAACAGTTTAATTAATGGTAGAAAAATAATAATTTTTAATATTTAATCTGAATTTTAGACTGCTGTATCTAATGAATGTATTTATACTGTTCATTGCTTAGAACAAGTTTCATCAGATGAGCATGTAGGTTCTCTTGCGGAAAATTTATTAGAAGCATTAAAATCAAATCCTATTATGGCTGAAAAAATTGAACTTGTTCGTGAACAAACTAAAGCTGAGAAAAAGCGGTTAGCAATGGCTATGCGACAAAAACAACTTGGGCAGTTAGGAATGCGTACAAATGAAAAAGGTCAAGTAACTGCTGAAACATCTTTATTACAACAAGTAGAAGATTTAGGTGAAGAAACTGGTCTTGTTTGTGTTATTTGTCGTGAAGGGTACAAGTTCCAACCTACCAAAGTATTAGGTATTTATACATTCACCAAAAGGTGTGTAGTTGAAGAACATGAAGTAAAAGCTCGAAAAACTATTGGGTACAATACCGTCACTCATTTTAATGTTGTACATTTTGATTGTCACATGTCAGCTGTTAGGTTTGTATTACTATAAAATATTTTTTTGTTTTTTGGCACATTATTTTTCAAAAACTTGCACACTTCATTCTAGAAATTCAGAAAACTAAAAACAATTTAAATGGCTGATTTTAGTATTTAACTTTATACATAATGTTTTAGACTTGCCAGAGTTCGTGATGAATGGGAATCTGCAGCTTTACAAAATGCCAATACAAAGTGTAATGGGTTATTACCTATTTGGGGTCCATCAGTAGCCGAATCAGCTTATGCAAATTGCTTAGCTAGACATAATTCATATTTACAGGAAGCTACTAGTCAAAGAGATATTAGCTACACTCAAACAGTACATGATCTTAAATTATTATTGCTAAGATTTGCACAAGAAAAAAGTTTCCATGAAGATACTGGAGGAGGTGGTCCTCAATCTAACATGAACCTCGTACCATATCTTATACATATGGCCTTATATGTAATAAATACGTAAGTAGTTGTTATAAAATATAATTTTTATAAATTAATTTAATAACATTGTAATTCTTGTAGAACTAGACGTTCAAGTATAGAAGAACGTAATCTTAAAACATACTTGGAAATTAGACCTGGTGACAGAATGATTGATAATTTCTATGATACTGAAGGACCTTTGTATTGGTTAACCATGACAATATTACTAACACCTTATTCTACTTGGACATCAAATGCCCGTTTATTACACTTACATCGTGTTATCTTTATGGCTCATGTTCACCATACAAATTCATCTATAGCCCCAAACATCCGTTCTATACCAACTACTCCTTATGATTATACAGCTTATAAACCAGTACTTATGTTCTTTGCAATTATCAATACAATGTATGATTATTATTTTAAGGTAAATTTCAATGAGAATAATAACTTATTTAGTATTACTAAAAGATAAAATTTCAAAAATATATTTTACAGAATGTAGAGGTGTCAGAAAGTAAAAACTGGCCAACAAGTTTGGCTGATTATATAAGACACAATGATGAAAATTTACTTAAATTATCTGAAAAAATGATGACAACTTTTAGTGAAGATTTCTTACCTTGCACTTCCTTTGAAGAGTACTGTGATGTTGCTCGTAAGAAAAACTTAGATTACTATTGTTCAATACACTAAATTTAAATTATTTGTTTATTAAAAATTATTATTATTCTTTATTTTCAGGTCTTGATATAGGTGATCCTGCAAACTATATTAAAAGCATATTAAATACATATATTTATTAATTTATTAAAAATTTGAAAAACGTAATCACCTGTCATATATTTTTAAATATATACTAATTATTTATTAACTACATTATATTTTCTTGTAATTCATTTAATAGCAAAGTAAATAAATTAAAAATATAATTTTCAGAAAGCTATCTTATTTTTATTTTTTGGGGTTTGAATATAGCCAAGAATCCTTTCTACAGTTAGAAATAAGAAAAATGTCATTTATATATATTATAATCAATTTTTTTTTTAATACAAGTTATGTTTCATCAATAAAAAAACGTTTTTGTTGCTCTGGAAAAACTAAAAAATTTATAATTAAAAAAACTTGATATATAATGTATTGATGAAACAATACATGTCCTATAATGGCTATATCATATTACATTATAACCGTTGTCATTATATATGGCATAAACTCACTTTTACAATTTTTTTAATCATAAAGAGTCAATTCATGCCAAATCACCTAGAAGTGGTTGCACGACCCCCTAATTTTTTTCTTACATTTTCAGGGTTTATTCTTTATGCTATAATTAGATTATAACAATTTTTTTTTTGTTTTTTATAATGTTTCCACTTTTAGGGCTATTTCAATTAAAAAAATGTTAAAAATAACCAGAACATTAAAAAACACAGATTATTCAATATTGACTTAACCTTATTATAACTTAAAGTTTATATATAAAAAAAATTGTTTTAATGTAATTATAGTATAAAGAATAAACCCTGAAAATTTAAGAAAAAAATTAGGTGGTCGTGCAACCACTTCTGGATGATTTGGCATGGATTGACCCTAAAGTTAACCAATTATGCAAGACAGTTTGTGCGAGTAAAGTTGAATGTATAAACTCACCTTTCGCAACAACAAATTGTCTCCATCCTTCGCTATCTTTTGCACAATCTTCTATATTCAGAATATATATATTTTGTGTTTCTTATATTCAGAAGTTTTAAGTCTTCCTGCATTTTATTTATCCGTCTATGTCATCCTGTTTGAACGCAGCGCCCGGTGGTATTCATGCGGGTTCGTTATGATGTGGGATAAAATATTTGTCGGGTCGCGTAGCGAGTTTCATGTGACCGAGCGACAAATATTCATTTATAAATTTGCGGTACGCATCGTATAAATCTGCATTTTTAGAAAGACGTTGTTCGAGATTATATAATCTTTTGAGAGCTAAATTACAAGATTCGCCGAACCCGTGGTTGAGCGAAGGTGTGNTCATTTATAAATTTGCGGTACGCATCGTATAAATCTGCATTTTTAGAAAGACGTTGTTCGAGATTATATAATCTTTTGAGAGTTAAATTACAAGATTCGCCGAACCCGTGGTTGAGCGAAGGTGCGTTCATGTCAGCGGTATTTTTATTACACCCCACAGAAATCTCGTCTTTGAACAGTAGCCCCACACAAAAACGACCGATACATCACGTGTGGTAGTATGTGTAAACCAGTGATTACAGAGTTCATCTTCCGTTGTAGGAATTAGCGGGACATAGGGTTCTTCTATTCTCCAGAATTAACGCAACAAACTGTCAACAGATGGGCTAAGAGTCACGGCAAGTGACGTCAATGGCTGAGGCGAAGTGTCAGTGAGCGAGACTGTACCTACTAATATCCATCCTAGGTAGATGTCAAGCGCGGAGAGTAGACCTTTCATATGTATGATCTCCGCCTTTGGACGTACAATATGTGGAAAGCCTCTCCGCTCAACAACATATCAATAGTACCAGATGTATCGAAGTGGGAATCGGCGAACAACAAGTCGTGATATTGGTCACGTACTTTCGGTGGTAAACGCGTGGTCGGCATGAGATGTGTTATGTTTGATAAAACTATCAAATCATTACAAGTAAAGACTGGTTCTAATGCATAGTGAGATATAAACGTGCATGTAGAACTACCCTTTATTTGGTTTACACGGTTTTGCGCCAAGCCGTCTATCTCGGAGAGGCATTTACGACGCGGTAAGCCAAGACGTGATAAACAATCTGACGTAATCGCTGATATTTGGGACCCACTGTCCATTAACACACGCACACGCTGGTAAGAGCCTGTGTTATCGCGAATTCGTACGACAGCAGTACCCAATACTACAGTACTTTGTGCATATGAAGTACCTGAAAATTTCGGCGGCGTACCACCTGTTTGATTAGCAGTTGACGAAGTAGGTCGCGCAGGTTGATCCATGTGCAAAATAGTGTGGTGTTTTTTCTCGCATTTCTTACACGCCGAGTTTAAAGCGCATGACGATGCAACATGACTCGGTTTAAGACAAGAAAAACATAATTTGTGCGTAGAAATATGATCACGCCTTTTCTGAACAGAAATTTTTTGAAAGGTATAGCATCGATAAAGGAGGTGTGCACCCTTTTGACAATAAGAACAATGCAATTTTATTTTGAACAGTAGACTCTAGATTATTAGACGCGACGGTGGTTAATGAATGTTTCGGTGACTGCGAATTTTTCTGTACCGAACGCGACACGGCTAGATTAGAACCTTTAAGGTTTTCTAAAATTTTACAACGTTGCTGAACAAACTTCAGCAAGTCATTCATAGAAGGAATAATCTATTGCGATATACTGTTTTCAAATAGGTGTCTTATTGTATTATATAGTACACGAGAAGCAATATAGAAAAGCAAAAAACTAGACAGGTCATCTACGCTTAAAATTTTGATTGCCTCGATATTTTCTTTGAAGACATTCAAAAAAAGTTGTAAAGATGAAAGTGATTCACTATTTATAGGTCGAAATGCAAAGATTTTGTCCAAATGTGCTGTTGCTAACACTCTTTTGCTTTCATACCTATCGGTAAGTGCGTTTCACGCTACATCATAATTGGCTTCCGTAATTGGTATAAATTTTATGACAGCGAACGCGGAACCGGACAAACACGAAAGAAGGAAATGGAATCGCCTAATTTTATTAGAATCTACATTCACAATAGATTCAAATGTATCACGGAAAGTAGTCCAGTCTGTGATGCTACCATTAAATTTTAAATTCATATTCGCATACATGTTGTTATATAACGACTGAGAATGGCTGGGCACAGCAACAGCGGGTTGCGATGTGTTCACATTTTGAACTAAGGACGCAACAGCACTAATATCATAAAACATGTTTTCCATTTCGAGGGTCACTGTCGAATCGATAATATCGAACTCTTCGACACGATTTAGTTCTATTAATGCGTTTACAATAGCCTGTTGATGTTCACGAAACTGTTTTTCGAGAACACTTAATTGACGAACGCGTACTTCAAACTGTTCTTTAAGGCTAATGTCAGACTTAAACTTGATGGCGAATTTATGAATTTCAGTAATCGACTTAAGAGAACTATCCCGTTAAGTGCGTGCTCCAATGAGAGTCTTTTCTTCCAGATTTACATTAAAATGCTTCGGGGCCATATTAAGACAAATAAATATCCACGTTTGAAGGACCAATGTTTTAACGCAGCGCCCGGTGGTATTCACGCGGGTTCGTGGTTTTGTTTTGTCTTAAATTTTTAGCTATGTCGAGGATAAAGAATAAGGTGAGTGGACTGTATGTTTGAATGTAGAATAAATTTCACAAGATATAATTATAAAAATTAAATGTATTATACAAGAAATATAAAATCTTATATACACCAATGTGGATAGGAGGGACACTTAATACTAATGCCACTAAGGCGATGATATAAACAAATAATAAATTATACAAGTGAGTCTTAGATAGATAAATGAACAAGCATTATACTTATCTGCTAAATGAAACGGCTGATGATAATGTTGACTATTGAAAGGATCAATTAAAATCGAATGACAACTTTTTCAAAAAAATTAACTTTTGAAAGTGTTCCGGAAATACTGACACCTTTATATATATCTTAAATTAAAGCTAATGTAATATACTTTATTGTGAAAAAAAAGAATTTCGGATTTTATTTTGTCTTCACGTTAAAAATAGCTACCAAATGTTATTTTTGTGTGAAAATTCTTGATTTTGTATTTTACATTTTTAACTTTATTATGCTATAACTTTTTGAAAAATGTATGAATCAACACAATTTTTCATGAGAAGTAGTATTTATATACATCTTTCATTCGACATACTTTATCTTAATCAGGATATTAATAAGGAACTAGCAGATCATGTAGCTTTTGGAATAATCCACCAATTTTTTTAAATTAAACACTATCTAAAGATTTGCATCGAAGCGTTTTTTATGATAGTGATTTTAATCACTGTCAGATATCATTATACTTGATCCAACTATGTCACGTCATCACTGTGCCACGACCCCCCTGTGCTGGGTTTTTTAATATATTTGTGATTATTAGCATTTTTGTTATATCTATCTACAAAAAGTACCCTTTCAAATTTATATTCATTAACTTTTATATAAGAAGTGTTATGATTTTGTGTCCTAAGTATATATACATATTATTTGTCTTTGACTCATTTATCTTCAGACCAATCTTTTTACCTTCATTAGTAAGATGAGAGTGACATTTGTCAATTCATTTTGTATTTAGATAATTATCATTGACGATATAGTCAATGCAAGCTACTACGGTTAATTCTTTATTTTTAATTCTTTGATTTTGGATTAGTAGTTGCATTTATTCCTTAGATCATTACCTTTCGCATAATTGATTTTATATATTATGTTAAATAGTGCTTCACCTTGTCTGAATTCTGTCGTTACTGAAAATTCATCTAATATTTCTTCTCGAAATCTTATCATTCTGACTAATTTTGCTGGTAATCCTATTTGGCTAATGATATCCCATAGTTTTTCATATCAATCGAATCGTAAGCAACGTTATTATTTATGAATATTAGGTGCATATCTTTATTAAATTCACGATACTGCTATCTGTTTATATGTATTTGATCAGCCGTTGATATCCTTATCTTGAAATAAGTTTGATATTATCTTAATATTTCTTTAATATAAGGATTAATTCTGATTAAAAGTATGTTAAACAGAATAATAAAAATTGTGTTGAGTTGAGAGTTTCCTCAATAATTTCTACACTCCATGATATCTTTTTTAAAAAACATGACATTGGACAATTATTCGCCATGTTTCTGGTATTTTCACTTGTTTTCAGATTACGTTTACTAATTTATAAATCAGGATCAGAAAGTA